AAAATGATTATACAGTTTTTCGATTTTAATAATCTGCGATACATGTTTACCATTATTTATATAATTTGGAAGTAGTTATTATTGTTAATTTTTTGTAAGTCCAAATAATCTCATTAAAATAATGTACAATTTATAAATAGATTTTAGGCGTAATACGGATGGTTAATAAATATGCAACGACTTAAGAACATATATATTAAAAGTGTTGTTTAAAATTAAGTGTTAATGCTGGTCATTTTTATGATTATCTTACATTTGTTTAAACACGACAATTGAACAAACCTTGTACAACAATACTTACAGAAATATGAAAAATTGCTGACTATTAAATGGTTGACGTAGGCCATAACCGATTTCTCCGGCGTCATTGTCTGCTTCTCTTTTTACTTATATTATTGTTTGTTTTTTTTTGTTGGTGTTATAGTTTGTAGTTGTTATTTGCTACCTGAGTGAATGTTACGTGTTTAGCTTAATGATTGCCCGCACAGATAGCCTGCAAAATAATCAATAAAAGTGCACTCATCAGATAAATATTTTAAAATATAGATTTTATAATTGTGGGTTTTTTGGGAAGCATTGCACTTGGATAGAGGGTTTAATAGCATATCAAGAATTCTCAGTTCCCATGTCCACAGAGTGCAATCAAGCTGAACCAGAGGGCAAAACCGCATGATTTGAATACCATTTATTTTCCGCCTAATTATGGCTTATCCATATGCACACATCTACCTATATTTTATTTATAGACAGATAATTGCCACTGGCCACTTGACAAGTCAAGTGACAGCAATTAAAATGCGTTCAATTCAGGAAGATTATTCAAATTGGACTTACTACAATTCCATATTTTTAGGGTAGATTGAGATGACCAGATATGAGAACAATTGTTTGTATAGCAACAATAAGACATTTCCAAAGTCCACTGGTCAATGTGTTTATAAATTTTAAGAATGATGAAATATATTTATGTTCCACAATTTATGTTAGACAGAGCAGTACTTGTCCATCAGTCTCACGATTATGGCTTTATCTGCTATATTTTAGACGTCCTTATCTGTCTGTTGAACAAAAAGCCTTAAAAAACTGCAACTAAAGTTCTAGTAATAAAGCTAATATAGATTAGAGGTCGCAATCTAGGTGCTTCAATGCGCTTTAAACATGAGTTTTATTACTGGATTTAATTAAAATTGTTTCAAACAGGGTATTCAATTTCACCTACAAAACTATATTATTTTTTTAGTTCAAGACATTGTTGCCTTCAACCGGTCAAACATAAATTTTGTTCTCATTAATTCCTTTTGTTTATTTCCTGACATTGATTTGTAATCTTGTTTGTCCTTAAGCATATACAATTGCAAAAAAACTGCATTCTAAACATAACAGGTTTCCCAAGTTTGAATTTTTAATTTGAGAATTTCCCATTTCAAAATTTAATTATTAAGGTTTGAACGATATTACAAGTTTAAATGGAATTCCCAACAATTCGAGAGAGAGTAGCTCAAACAGGTTTTGAAATGCAGGTGAGTAAACAAAATGTGGTGTTGCTTGAGAATTTTCCCAGTCTATTTGTAATGTGCATTGAATGGCAGGTTGACAACCTAATGTTTTAATCTATAAAGTTTCTTCCGGAATAAATAAATAATATTTAGTGATTTGATATAACCTTCCTAAATTAATAAATTCGAATTTTATACAAATAAGTATTCTTTTTAATATTTTTATATTGATGCCACCAATTAAGGTTGACTTAAGCAATAAAGTTGGGTCAATACTTTCGTTCGAATATTTTTGACTTGAATAAACAAATTCTTGGATGAACTAAAATCCCTTTGAAGTAGTACCAACCAAAAAGTTTGATTCAATAATGGAAATCGGTTTAAAGGAATATCAACATTGAAAATAGTTGAAAAGACAAAATAGCCATTATAAATTATGGTGGAATTTTAGTCCTAAAACAAGAATAGCTACCCTCGTGTCTGATATTATTTAGTCGTCTGCAGTCAAGGAAATATTCTAAGCAACACTAAGAATTTTTAATCCGCTTTAGTTTGCCACTTCTGCAATTTTTAGACTGCATTTAGTGCAAAGGCAAACGCATTGCAGCCACCTAACAGACCGACCCACTTCACCCACATAAACAACCGGCCAGTGGAGCGCATCCCCAAGCTTTTAAATGGCTGATAAGACTTGGAGCAGCAGAAACAGCAAGAACAGAGAAAACCTTTATCAGGCTGGAAGTGAAACTTTGCACCCAGTCATCTGGTCGAGGCCCTCTCACTAAGCAGATTATCACTCACTGGACAATGCAGAAAGTCGACACAAAAACAAATGAGAAATATGTAGGCTTTGGAATATATTATACCCGGTAAGTGTTTAAAGTGTCCCATTTCTTTAATTAACTTTGTTAAAAATAATATTGTGATTTGATGTTCTTTAAACTAATACTAAAAGTTCGTAAACTTGATTTATTGTTAATTATAAATTCTTCCCATCAATATTATATTATTCTTCCCATCAATTGAGATGTCTACAATTTTGAATTAAAAAAAAATCCTCAGAGATTTGATTGATTTTATATAATTATGTGAACATTTAAAAATTCCAAGAAGAAAATGTAAATAAAGTTAAGCGTAATTTATATTAAGTATTACATATTTGATGTGGCCCCATTTTTTATTCCACTGCACCAATCTTTATAGTATCATCTGGTGTTCTAGAAAAACCTTTAAATATACATATGTAGGTTCACCTTCTTATTGAGTTTCCACATAATGGTACTTGCTTATATAATGCAATATAAATAAGTGTGTTTAGGCCATGCTATTGATTTTATAGGCAGTTTTCTTGATTGCCGGGTCAAATCAGGTTTGGCCAAACAAGAAGAGGCCAAAAAAAAGAGGGCAAGAATAATGGAGGGGAAAAAGAAGGATATAAGAAGAGAGAAACAAAATGGAGCCTACTGAGGTCAAGGCGGACATATGCAATTTTTGGCCATTGATTTTTTCTTGTTTTCCACAAAACCTACCTAGGAGTCTGGACTACTCGTAGATGAAACCCATTTGTCGGGTGTATTTATATTTAGGCACGGGCCATATATCCATACACCAAAATTAGCCTGGGAAAATCAATGAAAAGTTTACGTTTCGGCACTCGCGGATTCCTCCTATCTTGTAGTATTTTTTTACCGGGTCGTTTTGGGGGGGTGGTTAGGCGGCGTGGGATGAAAAGAGAGAGGAAAAGTCTTAGAACCGAGCATGGAATACCGGAAAACCGAAAACTGAAAAATTACTGCTAAACGGTCCGACGTTCGAAACAGAACTGAAAACTGCCAACTGAGAACCTCGGAAATAAAGTCCGTTAGCGTTTGAGTCTCCGTTTTGAGCATGCGTGCAACTACACAAACAACAGCAAAAGCAAAAACAACAACGGCAATCGCATGAATGAAGCCACACAGAGAGCCAAACACGTCTAGCTAGAGAGAAAGAGAGAGATAACAAAGGAGTACACTGAAAAAGTTATTACCAAATAAATGTATTACATAAAAAAAATATTCGGCTTAGATTACTAGATCATCAAAATATTTCTAAAATTATTAAAATTGTTTTTCAAAACTAACAATTTGTAGGTGAAAATGCATTATGTATTAATTTTTTTTAAGTTCGGATATTGTGCTTTTTTATTTCTTTGAGTGTAAGAGAGAGCACCATTGAGAGAGAAATGTGGGTGAGAGCGTCATCTCCAGTCATAACAAACAACGAACAAAGTGGCAAACAAACTACACGTGCTACAAAAACCCGTCAGAGAGATGGGTTGCTAAGAGAGAGCAATTGTGTCTGCCCGATTTTCGTACCGGTTTCAACGGGAATGGGAAAATAGGGACCAAAGGATAAGAGCCGCAGACAACCGGCTGACTTTTTATGACCGACAGAAACGAGGGGGTGTCGTGACGCACGTGTTCCTTTCTGTCCTGCAATGCGACACGACTTTCGAGGGCTGTTTAACAACGAAAGGTTCAATAACCATAAATGTGTAATTGTAGTTGTTTTAAAATAATAAATTTAATTTATGTTGTTTTAATCCCCAACTGTTTAAATAAATGTTTATCTAAAATATTTAATAAAATATTTGGAAATTGTTAAATATAAAGTTTGCACACAAAAATCACGTATCCGCAAAAATTCAAATATCAAGTATACGCAAAAAAAACATAAACTGAAAATTAGGACTATTAGAGTTGGTAATCATAATAAAGAAATTATACGTTGCTTTTATTTGACAGTATTTATTTCTTAAATGAAATAATTTTATGCAACATTTTTAGGGTCATTTAAATCAGAACTTTTCTAGCTGACCTCTAACTTTGCGATGGGACACTGGCATACTTGTGTCAGCTGTCTGTTAAGTTTAAAAGTTTATTGATGAAGAATCTATAATTACTTGTACAATACCGATTTAACTGTCAATTTTTAAAGAGTTCTTTAAGTATGAAGTAGGCAGGGAGCACAAAAAAGTGGGTATTGCATTGAGAATCAGCTTAAGCTGCAAACTCCTTATGCACATCTCGAAGATATTTATGTGTGGTTCTTGTTTATTCAGGTTATGTGACTTTTTTATGACTTCCCTTACGAATCATATAACAAAAAGGGTTCTGAAGGTGGGGATATTCAAACAAAATTAGGTAAACACTTTTTAGGTTGATGTATATTTAAAAATTAATTTTACTCATCCACTCTGCTAGCACTTTAAATTGGTTTCTGTAGCATACTTTGTGGCAAACTTATTTAGTGAGTATCTCAACCCATGAGATACTTTTCGAGTCGGCTGATGCCCCAGTTTTTTGGGGCAGCCTGTCCAGCCGGGTCAGTGTCATTCTTTTTTTATCGCCTTTGGTAAGCCGCAAACCACAACAATTGAAATGTTAACTCAAAAACAAGGAAAGCTTTTCACATTCCTTAAAAGAGCAGTATTTAAATGCTTAGTGTTTGGTGAACCATCAAACAATGGACAGCAACGAGGTGACAATTTCTTTGGAGGATTCCCACAGTCTTAGGGAGAGTTTCGCCAGTACAACCAGTGGACCATGTTGCGGCTTAGAACGTGATTTTGATGTCGATATTCAGATGGAGGATACGGATAAAGAGGAGCTGAAAACACCCAGTGAATTGCAGAAACCTCAAGGAACCAACAAGAAGTGTTCTAGCGATCTGTCCGGAGGAAATAGTTATGCCACAAACAAAAACGTGGCTGAAGGTAAGATGATTAGGTAAGGTAAATAAAATATAAATTGTGAAATATTTTAAGTCGGATGAAAGTTCATATTGTTATTTTATCATGTTGTTCTACTGTACAGTTTTTGGACACTGTTATCAGTTCATTTTAAATGTTGGTCAACTTTCTATTCAGGTCTTATGGATATTGCCTTGCTTTCGGCGAATGCCAATCAGCTGCGTTTTTTGATAACTTACAACGACAAGGCCTCTACCTACATATACAGTTTGATTATGGTGATACTTTCCCTTGTGCTCCAGCTATTAGTTGGCATAATGCTAATATTTAAGGTATGTAGGTAATAACCTAGTAACACAAACCTCTAAAAGAAAACTCCACAGCGTCGACTCAAGCGCTTTAAGAATCGAAGCTACGAAAGAACAAATGATCTGCTGGTGATGGGAGTTTTCATGATCACAGTGGTCAACATTTTGCTGGCTGCCTTCACGACAACCGATGGAACCAGCCATTGAAGAAATATACCTCCACTCCTAACATCTTTTATATGTATTTTATATTTGTATATATTTTAATTGTATTTTATACAATATAACAGAAAGAACTATGTGGTAAATGCTAAGGTAACATGGAGAGAACCGATAACGGATGACCGTCAAAAAATGTTACAGCGGTTCCCACCCATAAATGCACTTGACGTATCTGACGTACGATATCTCAGCTTGTGTGGGGGGATTTGTGGGGGAGGGTCAAGGATTCCTAACCAGAGTAGTCCTTCTTGATGCACTTGGCAATGGTGCTGAGCTGCATGTTGGTGGTGCCCTCGTAGATGGCTCCGATCTTCACATCACGGTAGTACTTCTCCTGGGGGAAATCGCGGGTGAAGCCAACACCTCCCATGAAGTCGACGCACTTGATGGCCGCCCGTTGGGCCACCTCCGAGGCGAAGTACTTGGCCATGGCGGCCTCCTTCTGGAAGGGAACTCCCTGCTCCTGCAGACGAGCTGCATTGTAGGTCATCAAACGGGCAGCTTCGATTTCCGTGGCCACGGTGGCGATCTGGTGCTGCATCGACTGGAAGTTGTAGATGGCATCGCCGAACTGCTTGCGCTCCAGCAGGTACGGAATGGTGGCATCGAAGGTTCCCTGGGCCAGTCCCACCATCTGGGCGGCGATTCCGATGCGACCCTCGTTCAGGAAGCCAGCGGCGTACTTGTAGCCATGTCCGAACGTTCCCAGGATATTCTCCTCGGGCACTCGCACATTGTCGAAGGTAAGCTGGCACGTTCCAGATGCACGGATGCCCAGCTTATCCTCCGGCTTGTTCACAATCAGTCCGGGGGTGTCACGGTCCACAATGAAGGTGGTGATGCCACGGTAGCCCTGCAATAAATATGTGCCGAAATGTTAGTCATAAACCTATAACCATCGTTATAAATAAAACTTTAACCACTTAAGATGAGCTAAAGATTGTTAAAAAATGTACTCTTAATAAAGACAAAAAGGAAAAGTGAGAACTAGATATTTGTTCCTAAACGTCCTATAAAAGAAAACATTTCCACGTTTACATTTAAAAATCATTAATCTATTGAACTTTGATCTTTGTGCGATAAGATGGCAATCGTTTAAAATAACATAAAGATTAGCTATGGAAAATATTATGAGATCGATTAGGAGCCTGCGAAAAAGTGAAAACTAAGTCGGAAAAAAAAATGAAAAATAAAGGTCGACTAATATAAGTAACTTTAACTTTAGCAGTTAAAAAAAGTCTAAAATATATTAGAATTTAAATAATTAATCGTTGGATAAAAATAAATTTTTTTAAAAGCTTCCTTTTATAATATAATGATCCTAATGAAACAATCGATGAGCAATATCTACTTACATCCTCTGGCTTGGCATTGGCGAAGATCAGGAAGACTCCAGCAACATCGGAGTTGGAGATCCACATCTTGGAGCCGTTTATCACGTAGTGGGAGCCATCCTTCTTGGCCACCGTCTTCAGGGAGAAGGCATCGGATCCTGCTCCGGGTTCAGTCAAGGCGAAGCTGCCAGCATACTCCTGGGCCAACTTGGGCAGGTACTTGGCCTTCTGCTCGGCATTACCGAACTTAATCATCAGCGAGTTGACCAGAGTGTTGTGGATGTCCACGAAGGCGGCCACGGCGGGATCGATCTTGGACAGCTCCTCCACCACGATGATGTTGGTCATGAAGTTGCAACCACTGCCTCCCAACTCGGTATCGATCTCAATGCCCATCAGACCATTCTCAAACACGGCCTTCACCACCGAAGGATCGAACTTGTGCTCAAAGTCCATCTTCTTGACCAAGGGCTGAATCTGCTCCTGAGCCAATTTGGCAACTGAAATTTAAAGAATTAAAGATCATTAATCTTTTACGATCGAACCATGAGTTTAATTTAAGATTATGTTGGAAGATAGTATTTTGATGTTGTCAAAAAATAAATAATAAAATATTATAAAAATAAGTACACAATTTTCAATAAATTAAATATAAAAAGTAATCTGCACAGTAAAAAATTTAAAAAGTATTTTATTTAAAAAGCTCGCGTGTCCACCTTTTTTGTTAAAAACAATAACAAATAAATATCGCCTGAATAGCTTTTTACCAAAGTTTTACTAAAGCTTTGAAGAACATTTAACAGCACGTTTTCTTTAAAAATCGGGTTTTAAGCTTTTTGCTTTTTATTCTTTTCTGTCTATTTTTCTTCTAAGAGGGCCCGATGTTTGCTGTTGGTCTTATGTTTGTATAAGTTGGGGTATTTCTCTATATACATTTGTATACCAGATAAAACATCTTTGTGTGGGTTGTCGTGTGTCTTTTTTATCAGCAAGTTCTCCAAGTTCTCAGATCGCGTGGGGCTCTCGCAGCTGTCTTTTTGCTAATTCTATTATTTTCTCCGGGTATTTATTATTGATCTTTTTTAAAGCATTTTTTCATGACATTGTTTTTCCGCTTGAAAAGCCAACAACTGGTACACATCCACCAAAGTTCTCACACCTTCGATTCCCTCTCTTTATTGACTTTCCTGCCTTTTTGCATACATTTTCGTTCATTCCCCTATCAAGGGAAATGCTTAAATAATTTACTAACTTTATATATTCATTTAGATTTCCAACCATATGGACAGAACCCAGCAATTTTCTGACAGTTGGGACGTGTCCCAATGGGCTCAAAGTAAATTTTACTAAATTTTTCGAAATTATCTTGTACCATTTAAAAGAAAATTGGATTAAATCCTAAATATTTGTATTGTTATTTTCTTATTATTATTTAGCAAGTTTTAACTTAGTTTTGAGAGTTTATAAAAAATGTACATATAGAATGTATTATAAATTAATTGTAAATTACCATTATATTGTGTATCCGCCACATATGCGCTAAGGTTTCCAATCCGCAAAGAACAAAATACAAAGAATTTTTTTAAAATGAAAATAGCGTTATAAATGATTTATTCTAAACCTCTTTTTGGATTAAAGTACAAGTGTTAACTGTACTGATACTTATAGTAAAAGCAATGTCAGAGAAATAAAAAACCAGTTTCAGTTTATGCATTTGGCCACTTTGCATTCAGCTTAGATTACGCAACAGTCAGACCATATAGACACATACTCTCCCACTTGGGAAACCATATAGATTGAGTGATTGATAAGCGGAAAAAAGAAAAATTCATTTTGGTAAAAGAATAAAACTGTAACCTTCCCAACTAGGAATTAGATGGATTGCAGGCGGACGAAATCCACCCACTCAGCTAATTCAACTCTCTAGGGAAGGGCTCCCGACCAAGTGCCACGCCCCTGATTGTCCGGCGTGATCACTAGAACAGTGATCACAGGTGGGCAGGGGGCGTGGCACAGTCGCATTTAATGCTCTATCACAAGTGTAACGCTATTCGGTTGACGTATAAAACCAGAACCAAGCAGCTGACTGACCTGTGAAAAATCTGAGGTGAAATTATATAGAAATTTAACCACCCACGCTTTAACCATTATATTACTGAAAAGAGAGGCTCGATCGATTCAATACTCGAACTCGCGGCTTGGTAAACTTTTTTTCATTATTTTACCGGCAACTCAACGATGAACGCCACCGCCAGCCGAGAAAGAGCAGCGATGAAATTCAAAGTTGAGCGGTGGCGGCAACAAAAAGCTATTTTTAGACCGGGTGAGAGAGTGTGTAAGAGTCCCACCCCCTTTTTCCTACTCCCAAAGAGAGTTTTGCGTGCTTGAAAGTGGTTTTATTCTTATTGGAAAATTATTTCAAACAATAATAAAAAAATGATAAACTTTAAGAATTGTACTAAGGTGATAGGAAAATTTTAACATCAGGAAAAAAAGCTTGTGATAAGGTTAGACCTTGAACTTGCCAAGCTGGCAGCTTTTTAGGGCAGTATCTATAAATTTTTGAGAAAATAAAAAGTATCCATTACATCTGAAACTTTCACCGTAAAATACTTTAGATATAAAATATTTAATTACCTTAAAAATTAAATAGATAATTTTGCCCTACGAAAAGTACAGTGCCACTTTGGAGTAAGAGTACTCTAATCATTTAATACAATTTACATATGATTTTTTTTAACAAAAAAAAGAAGTTATTTATGATCTTGGAACTTTATTTTACCGTGAAAACTATTTATAAGTTTTCTTTATTATTATTTCTTTATTATTTTAAAATTCAATTATTCAAATATTCAATTGGGCACAAAAATCATACATTTTCCATAAAATGTTTTTAAGAACCTTATACTCCTTTAAAATAATATATGGTACCTTTAATATAGTGTAAATAAAAGCATCCTCACAAATTATATAATATTGGCGCACACGCCATGCGAATTGATTTAATTAAGCTCTCTCCTATAAAAAATGCAAATTGGCCCAATGAAAATTATTAGATCGCTCGATCGTAAAAGGGAGAAAAATCGCACCTTATAATATTCGAGCAAACATCATAAAGAAAATGGTTCGAATCAGTCCACTGATATTAAGTGACATTTTAGTTCCACTATCAAAATAAAAATGTGCTTATCTGGCAAGCGACCTCCGCCACTCTACTCCTTCCCTCACCAAATACACTTTATCAGCAGAAAAAAGAATAAAACTCGAAAAATATGAATACACCAAATAGTGCAGCAAGTCTTTAGCTAGTATAATGCGAATATATTATTAAATAACAACAAGAACATCTTTAATATGCGATGCTTGGAGTTACGTAACAGGCGAGTCCAACTAAACACCATAAAAATATCTAAAAATTCGGCATGGAACGAACAACATGCTTATCGAATTGGAGCTGCACTTGGACTTACAGAACCCTGGATTCTGATGATCTACATAAATCTAGGGCGAAACTCACCAGTCTCCTTCATCATTTTCTCGTCGTCGGTAAGGAAGGTAAGAGGTGGGGGGAGACCTGCTGCCGAGGACATCGCAGCATTTTGCTGACGTGCAGCGGAATTGACCAGCTAAAAAATAAGTGAGGCAAATAAAATTAGTATGAGCCAAAGTCAGAATTGAGGGGGCGTGGCAAACTCACCATGCGCACTGGCAGTTTCTTCAGGCTGTTCATCATCTTGAATGTAGTGGAAAAATTAACTTAATCAAGGGGCCAAACTGGACTTTATTGAGGTTTTTGGAACGAATCCCCAGAGACAACGGCAACAGTTGGCTGCTCACACGCGACTGAATTCTATTCTCCAGCAGCAGATACGATCGCAAGACAAGAGCAACCAGATTTTGAAAAAGCTTTTCACCACTTAAACTGAAGTTCAACACACGCAGCAGGTTTTAACATTAATAAATGGTGATTATCGGAAGAATTTAGCATTAAAATTAGGAAAATATATAATACTTAATGATCTAAGCAGATTTCTCATTTAAAAGTTGGCCTACAAAAACAAATATTTTTTCAACGTTTTCCAAATGCAAATACCATTTAAAAATGTTGTAATTTATGTTTATTAAAACCGTTACTTTATCCTTCTAAAAAAATGTATAGTACTTAATATTCTTTTAACTTTATTAAAATTGTTTTCTTATTTGGTACCATATATTCAAACTGGTAAAAAAAATTGTAATTTAGAATCTCATTTTTAAATTTGAAAACATAATATAACAGTGGAGACTACTCAACAGGTTTAGCAAAGACACAACCTCAAAAGTGTTGTAAAGCGAAGGCCTCGAATTTGACATTTCCTCATTTGGAGATGATCCAAAAGAGATTGATATTAATCGAATCAAATAAAAGCTACAAAAGGACGTTAGCAAACCAGTAATTATTTTAATAATACAAGTTTTATATGAAGAATCTGGAAACGCAATATATTACCCAACTAAACTCCATAGAAAACACAAAATGTAAGCTAGTTTCGACCAAAGAACGCCAACCGATATCAGCTAGAAATATCGTGTGAAATGCCACCCCTGGTTCTGCCCTTTTGCCATCCCTAACGGCGACACAACTGTCAAATTTCTTTCTTTTCGTTGATTTTCGACGGTGAGTGCGTTTTACGTGATTAATTCCGTTTTTGGCCCGGCATCCCTTTATGTTGTGCCCCATAAACAATGAAATCGAGTAGAGAAATCATGGCACGACTCGATTGTGCAATTATTGTGAATTTCGGAAAAACCGCAACTGACGCAGTGCCCCCTTTTTGTTTACAGCCCGCACAAGCAAGATGAAACAGAATCCGTTCGTGTCGTCGTCGCGCAGGAAGAACCGCAAGCGCCACTTCCAGGCTCCCTCCCACATCCGCCGGCGCCTCATGTCCGCCCCGCTGTCCAAGGAGCTGCGTCAGAAGTACAACGTGCGCTCGATGCCGATCCGCCGGGACGATGAGGTCCAGGTGATCCGCGGCCACTTCAAGGGCAACCAGGTTGGCAAGGTAGTCCAGTCTTACCGCAAGAAGTTCGTCGTCTACATTGAGAAGATCCAGCGCGAGAACGCCAACGGCACCAACGTCTACGTGGGCATCCACCCCAGCAAGGTGCTGATTGTCAAGCTGAAGCTCGACAAGGACCGCAAGGCCATCCTGGAGCGCCGCGGCAAGGGCCGTCTGGCCGCTCTTGGCAAGGACAAGGGCAAGTACACCGAGGAGACCGCCGCCCAGCCCATGGAGACCGCGTAAACCGCCGGCAAAAGCTCTTAACTGGACCGCATTCGTCGCTGTTTACTGTTTTTACCGTAACGCTTAGTGTAAAAAACAAAACATCTGAAAAAATCGCGTGTGAAAAAGGACCCATTCTTTACAATAAAGAAAAGTTGATTTTCGCAAATGGATTATTTTGGCGTTTTCCTTAAGATGGATCAAGTTTTGAATGCACTCATTCCAAGGCAATCTACATAAACAACATCAAACCATGTGGTTTGGTTTCTTCAAATAATAAATCTTTGATTGTCAGGTTTTAAATTCAGCGTTATAAGATTAGGTAAAGTGTTGAATCCAAAATTATAAATAGATAAACGAATTCTTCGTAGAATATTACAGGTTTCCTTTCTATCACTTTCCAAATAAGTTTAATTCAGTTTGAGGTAGGACCCGTTTCTAACAATGGTTGTCGTAATATTTTGAAAGTAGGATTAATACTCTCAGTTCGTAATGAGAAACGGCTTACTTGCTTGTTTTTTTTTTTGTTAAGATGACGATATTAATAGCTGGAAAAGAGAATTATACCTTATTCAAAACGGATACATACAACAGTAAACAAATCAATTATAATTTTTGATTTTGATTCCAATAGTTTTCATTTATCGTTTTTACCGATCGATTTGAGATATACCTATATAGGTTTGGACATATTTAGCAATAACATTTTAGATAAGAACCTGATTACCGTAATGTTAAAAGTTTTGTCAGTCTTCATAACATAATGAACTTTATGTTTAAATCTTAAAGTTCAAAATGAGTTGCTTTATTTTTTTGATTCAATATTTAAAATAGGTGACAAGTAGACATAATGACCATCTAAAACTTTTTAATTAATGTCATTAGATTTGTTTGTACACACATATAATACATAAATAGCGTTTGTAGTCATCAATTTTTGTTGTACTCAAATCGGAACAATTTTTATTTCAATATCACATGTCAAATTGTTAATTGAATTCTTAATTTATTTTGATTCTTCATATTTGTATACTTATGAGGTTTGTGGAAGCCTCTATAAAATGCCTTGGTTTCTGAGATTGACGTTTGGAGGATATCTTGGTAGATTCAGACTATTGGCGCCTTGCGTGTTGCTTCCTGGGATCGTAGGGAGCGGGACGATTCTCAACGCGGGACTTAGCCTTTGGTGGCTTCTTCTCCTCCTCGTAATCCTCGCCAAATTGGCGACGGTTCTCCTCCGCAATAAAAGCCTTTCGCTGCGCGGGGAACAATCCATTGGGTTCCCTCACTATATTGGCACTGGAACAATAAAGCTGCGGATTGTAATCAGGAACTGCATCGTCGTCGTCCCAGTTTTCTTCGGACTCTATCTTGGCGTGTTTAGTGTCCTCGTTTAAAACAGCTGCTGCACTCGTCTGATACTGGACAATAATCTTTCGATCCTCACACGATTTGGTGTGTTGCTGTGTGGGGATTAGAATTTAAGTAAAGTATTCGTATTCCCCAGCACTATACATACAAAGAACTCGGGCTCTGGTATTAAATGGGCCTTGTTAAAGGGACAGACCATCAGCTCCACGGTGTCTTTGTAGAGCACACGGCATTTAAGGATGTGCTGTTGGAGTTTTTTGCGCAGCATTTTGTGCTCCTTGTTGTAAGGGCAGAAAACCATATCAGATTCGTTGCAGTTATCCATGCTTAAAATTGTTTACTGATCTCCCAAATCTTCGAGGAGTTTCAGATTTCCGAACAGACTGGCGCTGTGTCAAAAAGTATTGGGTAACATCGTAAAAAGGTAATACTGTGCTATTAACATTTTTGAAATAGGCGATAGTTTTAGAAAAGGTTTTAAGTTCAGCTTAAATTTGTATAGTACAATGTTTGCATACAAGCAAACACTAAACTATATCGAAATGAATTATTAAATTAAACGACTTGGTTGTTTCGAAATTTCTTAGTTCGAATTTATTTATAAATTATTGACCTCGAGCCGAAAAAACATTAATATATATTTTAAGGTTTTAAAAAAAGTAAACTTTATTTGAATCTTTAAAAGAATATAACTTTGATTACAAATTATTTATTTATCATTTGGTATGTAGAAACTTAGATCATTTTTAAAATTATAACTAATTTTATGAACAACCCAGTTCTGGAAAATATTTTTAAACGATACTGTGCTTACCAACGATGTATCGCTTACAAGCATTTATAACACTGCCATTTTACAACACTGCCTCATACTAATAAACAAGGCAGCTGGAAAATATTTATAAAAATCGACATATCCTCGATTTGTATACAATTTAGTAGTTAAAACACCTAGCAGCAAGATGGGAAAGGGCTTCAACAACTACATGTGTAAGAAATTCTTCCACCCCGCCTCCAGGGACAATCTCAAAAGGGTAAGTGACCTCCAGTGTACTGATGAAATGCGTATCTTGTAAGAATTATGGCTAAACCTTAAACCTTATGGCTTCTTCAGGTGTGGATGGCGGAGCAGCAGGCTGAGGCGTACAAAAAGAAGCAGGAGGAGCTGCGCAATCAGTACGAAAAGGAACAGAATCTGCACGAGAACAAGGCGATGCTCAGTAAGGACAGCAAGGATAAGTTGAGTGTCAACTTCATGTACGAGCCACCACCGGGAGTGCGTAAAGAGCGCGAAAAGGACGACAACGAGCCGGAGTACAAGTTCGAGTGGCAGCGGAAGTACAACGCTCCGAGGGAATCCTACTGCAAGGGGGACACCGAAATCCGTGATCAGCCCTTTGGCATCCAAGTGCGCAACGTGCGCTGTCTTAAGTGCCACAAGTGGGGCCACATCAACACGGACAAGGAGTGCACCATGTACAGCATTTCAATGAGCGAGGCACGCAAACTGCATGCGGAAACCGAGGCCAGCGACATCATGGCCAAAAACGTGCTGGAGGAGCAGATGAAGGAGGATGGCCTCATGATGAAGCGATCGGCGCTCGAGTTGCAGAGCATCAAGGCCATCCAACAGCAGCACCAACTGGTGCCCAGCGACGGCGAGGAGGAGGCCAACGCCAATCAACAAAACCCAGAGCTCGTCTTTCTCAAATCCCTGTCCAAGAAACAAAAGCTAAAGCTGCTAAAAAAGCTAGAGAAAATCGAACGTATGAAGCGCAAGGGCGAGGGTATTAAGAAAACATCCAAGAAAAAATCCAAAAAACAAAAGGAGGATAAAGAGAGTAAGAAAAAGAAATCTAAAAAGGAAAAATCAGGCAGAAAAGAAAGAAAATCTTCAGTGGGTGATAGTTCATCCTCCTCTTCATCCTCGGATAGCAGTGATTCCGAGGACAATCGCAAGAGAAACCACAAAGACGACAATAGGAATGGTTATCAAAGGACTAAGGAATCGGAGCATGACCATCATCGGCGTAGGGATGAAAATAGGCATCGCAGAGATCGATCCCGATCCAGAGATCGATCGCGATCAATCAGCAGAGATAGGAGGAGGGAAAGAGAGCGCCGGGATCACTCCAGGCGATAGTATTATCTGTGTACCAAGCAATAAATTTTGAACATTTTGTATCACTTTTAAACATATATTTGCGTCTATAACCTATTATCGTATGATGTCTTACCTATCTATCTACCAATATATTTTATTTAAACTATTTTCACCTTTTTTTCAAATTCCTAAAAAAACTGATTTCGTAAATTTTTCTCATAGTTAGCTTTGCTAAAACTCTTTATTATGCCAGTGTGTGATATACATAGTTTAAAGACTTCATTGGTTATAAGGTGCTTATTTTATTTCCCTAGATCCTGGCCAGCTGAGCGGTTGTGGAGGATCCGGCGGAGACGCAAAGCTCGGCGCCGTGGTTGCTGCCGCCCTCCCTGGAAATGCTCTTCACGTGGATGTGGCTCTTGAGCATCGCAGCCCGGAGGACGAGCATCCTGGTATGACGCTGGTACTGCTTGCCCATGATTAAAGCTCGCTCGAAGGTGCTGTTCCTCTGATCCGCCTCCTTGGCGTACAGGATCTTGTTGTGCGAATCGATGCGCGCCTGGATCTGCCCGTCCAATATCAACTGCATCACCTCGTTCTCCAGATCGCCCACCGATGAGTTAAAGGCCACAGCCATTTTGTGCATATCGGCTGACATGTATGGGCTGAAGTATTGGATCAGCGCGCGGTTACGTATCTTGGTGTACAGTGTGGTCACATGGGGCGCAATGTACATGTCCACCAGCAGATTGTCCCTGATCTCGTCCAGCAGCGTCAGACAGGAGGCATATTTGCTTTCGTAGAACTTAAAAATAATATCCCTTAGCTGAGGCTCCAACTCCAAAAAGAGTTTAAAAGATGTGGAAGCGATGACCAGGCGTTTGAGCTCCGGGCGATCGAAAGTAGCCAGGGCACAGAGGCCACCATAAACCGCCACATTGCTGGTGGAGATCATCTCGGGAAAGTCGCAGTGATCGAAGTTGGCATTCAGGAAATGCTTGGCGGCCACTTTGTATTTCTTCTGTTGCAGTTCCGCCAAACCAGCTGCGCACTCCAGGCGAGTATGGACCTGGGCATTGGCTTCTTTGGATCCCTCGGCGAAGTCCGGAGTGCTTTCTGCCTTGGATATGTAGCTCATCACATGAGCCCAGTTCTGGAGATAAATGGAAACCTTGATGACGTTCAGGCACATGTTGACCACATGCTTGCCACTGGTGCAGTAATCTCTGGCCCTGGAATAACACTTTAGCGCATTAGTAAGGTCACCGCAACTAAGGTAATGGTCAGCCAGATCATCGTGACCCCGGCGAATGCTCTCTTTGATCGAATTCGACTTGTAGTTCTTTAGGTCAGAGTCCAGTTTCTCCAGCTTCAGGGCCGCCTTCTTCATCTTAGTGTCCACCCATCCGGCATCGTATGCGAAGGCATCCTTCTCGCCAGCGGGCTGCGCTTGTCCCTGAGCCTGGGCCACCGGTTGTGCGGCGATATCGGGTAAAGGAGCTGCTGCTGCTGCTGCCTGATCACCACCAGCATTTGCCGGCGGAACTGGGGCATTCCCGGCATTCAGATCACTCAATCGCTTGTGGAGCACCTGGTAGAGATTGACGTTGTAGGTGGTCTGCACATAGGTAATGGCCATTTTAAGAGCCTCCACTGACAAAATCGGGCACACATCGGCCACATATATCAGGCGATGGAGTCGCACGATCCCGGAATATTGGTTGGCGTACACCTCGAGATCGATGCTAGGATTCTCCACAACAATTTGCTGTTCCTCGTTGTTTTCATTGTCCTCGTTTGGCGGCGCATCCACTTGCATCGGCTCCACGGCGTTCTTTTGTTTGAGAAATACACAATTTTCGTTGATTATATTTACCAAAATACTTCGTTTTTTTATGGATATTCACCATGAGTGGCGGCATCGGCAGCACGGGCATCTTGCGTTAATTTGCTATGAAAATCAAATTGAAATTCACAGTTTTTCGCTTAATTCTCGTTTTGTTTTGTCAATTAATTTTCCCAAACCGATTTGCAAAGTATTTGGCATCGATATACCGGTAAGGACTAGAGGTGGACAATCAAGTCTCTGTTTGTTGGCGATAGTTGTTTTAAACCATCACAGGTGTTTGAAATTCAACGAAAACTGAAACCGATTTCAAACAAATTAAAAAAAAAAATTAGCATAAAAGTTTGGCTGGAATTTGGTTGAAGGAGATTTCAAGAGATCTTCCAAAATACCTTGTCACAGTTCTTGCCAATCACAGTGACTTAGTATTTACCCATCTCTAGCGACCTGCATCGATAATCGAGTACTTAGCAACACTGTTTTCACAAGCTAGAAGAAGAAGAAGCGCACCACGCATTGATAAACTTTCAGTTGTTTGTGAAATTAATGAAATAAAGTAGTACAAATTATTAGAGCAGTAGTCCAATATGTCCAACATAACGGCAGCGGTTATAGCCAACCGCAACAAGAAGCATTTCCTGGGCGTTCCAGCCCCTTTGGGCTATGTGGCCGGCGTTGGTCGCGGGTGAGTACAATCAAATGCACTGCTCACCCAGGAAAAAATATAAATTTTAATGGAACCTTTACTATTTCAGAGCTACGGGATTCACCACTCGATCTGATATTGGTCCCGCCCGTGATGCCAACGATGTATCCGACGATCGCCATGCGCCGCCGGCCACCAAACGTAAGAAAAAAGATGAAGAGGAGGAGGAGGACGAAGACTTGAACGACTCAAACTATGACGAGTTTAGTGGTTACAGCGGTTCCCTGTTCTCCAAGGATCCGTACGACAAGGACGATGAGGAGGCGGACGCCATATACGATTCGATAGACAAGCGGATGGACGAGAAGCGCAAGGAGTATCGCGATAGGCGGCTGCGCGAGGACTTGGAGCGGTATCGCCAGGAGCGACCTAAGATCCAGCAACAGTTCAGCGACCTGAAACGCTCACTGGCCAGCGTCACCTCGGAAGAGTGGTCCACGATTCCGGAAGTGGGCGACAGTCGCAACAGAAAGCAAAGAAATCCAAGGGCCGAAAAGTTTACACCCTTGCCGGATAGCTTGATATCGAGAAATCTTGGCGGCGAATCCTCCTCCACGTTGGATCCCTCCTCAGGTTTGGCTTCCATGGTGCCCGGCGTGGCCACCCCAGGCATGTTGACGCCCACGGGAGATTTGGATCTGCGAAAGATCGGTCAGGCTCGTAATACTCTCATGAATGTTAAGCTGTCGCAGGTTTCTGATTCCGTAACGGGTCAGACGGTGGTGGATCCCAAGGGCTACCTCACCGACCTGCAGAGTATGATTCCCACCTATGGGGGTGACATTAACGACATCAAAAAGCTCGCCTGCTGCTCAAGAGTGTAAGGGAAACGAATCCCAATCATCCGCCCGCTTGGATTGCCTCTGCCCGTTTAGAGGAGGTCACTGGCAAGGTTCAGATGGCCAGGAATCTGATCATGAGGGGCTGCGAAATGAACATCCAATCCGAGGATCTTTGGCTGGAAGCAGCTCGTCTTCAGCCACCAGACACAGCCAAAGCGGTGATCGCGCAAGCTGCTCGTCATATTCCAACCTCTGTTAGGATTTGGATCAAAGCAGCTGACTTGGAAACGGAGACGAAAGCCAAGCGCAGGGTTTTCAGAAAAGCTCTAGAACATATCCCGAACTCTGTCCGCTTGTGGAAAGCCGCCGTGGAGCTGGAAAATCCCGATGATGCACGTATCCTACTTTCCCGCGCCGTGGAATGTTGCAACACCAGCGTTGAACTCTGGTTGGCCCTTGCGCGTTTGGAAACTTACGAGAATGCCCGAAAGGTCCTGAACAAGGCTCGTGAGAATATACCCACGGATCGCCAGATTTGGACCACGGCTGCCAAGTTAGAGGAGGCTAATGGTAACATACACATGGTGGAGAAGATCATCGATCGATCGTTGACCTCGCTGACTGTCAACGGAGTGGAGATCAACCGTGATCACTGGTTCCAGGAGGCCATCGAATCGGAGAAATCGGGAGCTGTCAACTGTTGTCAATCTATTGTCAAAGCAGTCATTGGAATTGGAGTGGAGGAGGAGGATCGCAAGCAGACCTGGATCGATGACGCGGATTTCGTAAGTATAAATATGAATAATATACAACTCTTTTTATCTTATTTTATTGAGTTCATTTAATTAAAACCGTTCTATTTTCTTTCCTTCAGTGCGCAAAAGAGAATGCTTTTGAGTGTGCCCGAGCTGTCTACGCTCATGCCCTGCAAATCTTCCCCTCCAAGAAAAGCATCTGGTTGCGAGCCGCCTACTTTGAGAAGAACCATGGAACCCGCGAGTCCTTGGAGGCTTTGCTGCAGCGAGCCGTGGCCCATTGTCCAAAATCGGAGATTCTGTGGCTGATGGGAGCCAAATCCAAGTGGATGGCTGGAGATGTTCCAGCCGCAAGAGGAATTCTATCCCTGGCCTTCCAAGCCAATCCGAATTCCGAGGACATTTGGTTGGCAGCCGTTAAGTTGGAATCGGAGAACTCAGAATACGAGAGGGCGAGACGTTTGTTGGCCAAGGCCAGAGGTTCTGCACCCACACCTAGGGTGATGATGAAATCAGCTCGTCTAGAATGGGCCTTAGAGCGATTTGATGAGGCTCTTCGATTGCTTGAAGAAGCTGTCGAAGTGTTCCCCGATTTCCCCAAACTTTGGATGATGAAGGGCCAGATCGAGGAGCAGCAAAGGCGGACGGATGATGCGGCTGCCACCTATACTCAGGGCTTGAAAAAGTGTCCCACCTCCATTCCACTATGGATTTTATCAGCCAATTTGGAGGAGCGCAAAGGAGTACTGACAAAGGCTCGTTCTATTCTGGAACGAGGACGCTTGCGCAACCCCAAGGTGGCTGTTCTCTGGCTCGAGGCAATCAGGGTGGAATTGCGTGCGGGTCTCAAGGAGATTGCCAGCACCATGATGGCCAGAGCTCTGCAGGAATGTCCCAATGCCGGCGAACTTTGGGCGGAGGCCATCTTCATGGAAACCAAACCTCAGCGAAAGACTAAGTCAGTGGATGCCCTTAAGAAATGTGAGCATGACCCACATGTGCTGCTGGCAGTATCCAAACTTTTCTGGTCGGAACACAAGTTCTCCAAGTGCAGGGATTGGTTTAATCGAACGGTAAGTAAATTGTGATGTCTATGGACTATTTCATATTACATTTTAAGCTAATCTCTTGTTTATTTTAGGTCAAAATCGATCCCGATTTGGGAGATGCCTGGGCGTATTTCTACAAGTTTGAATTGCTTCACGGCACGGAGCAGCAGCAGCAGGAGGTCCTCGATCGATGCATTTCCGCAGAACCCACGCATGGCGAATCCTGGTGTCGAGTCAGCAAGAATATCCAGAACTGGCAATTTAAAACACCAGAAGTGCTGCGTGCCGTCGTCCGGGAGCTCTCCATACCCACCTAAGTTTAAGTTTATTTTGATTAAACGCATGCAACCTAGCGCTGCATCTCTCGATATCCCTTAATGATGCGATAAACTTGTTTAAAGTGCTTGAAGATGAATTCGAAGAGAAACAAGAAGAAACTAGCGGCAGCTCCACAGCCAAAGATTCCCAATGCATATCGACATTCGGTGATGCCAATTGAGACGAAACCACCCACTCCACCCTCGCACTTCGGCTTCTGGGGTATCCACTTCCGCTCCTCGCGATTCACCAAACTCACTTCTCGCTGCCAGCGTAATCTGGTGGGAAAATAAAGTATTTTAAGATTTTGTATATTTTTCCAAGTTTTCTTATCAAATTATTTTTGGGATTCTTATATTTTATAACTTGAAACTATGAAATCTAATTTTCATAAATTAAAAGTTTTAACTGTTATAGTATTTTTGGTATTTGCAAAATGTACTTATTATTTGAATATATGGTTAAAGAAAAGTTCGCTAAGGAAATATATTTACTGTCTTCGTATGAGCTCCTTGTAAGGAAAGTTCTTCCTCGTCGGAATAGCCAACATGGGCAACTGGAATGGCTCAAGTTCCATCAATCCACATTTTTCTGGCTCACTAAAGGTGTCGCTGACGATTTGGTAACCAGCTTGTAGTTCCACCTGGTAGGCAAATAAGCCTGTACGCATTCTTTCCATTCCCAAACTCGGTCGTACATAGACATTATCTCCCTTGGATGCGATCTTCTTGTGGTAAAGATTCTTAGTCACCGGATCTGTCGACTCTGTGAAGTAAATCTTATTATATTGGGTATCCTGAACACCGATTTCTAGAGGAGACTGGCCAAGATCAGCCAAAGAACGAATGGCATCCGAGGGACTTTGCAGCAGGGCCACGATGTTGGCCGAAAACGAGGTAAACAAGAAAAGAGCAGCAACAAATGTGGTAAAGACAATGATTCTCGCCGATCGATTTCGCACCTCCACATAGAATCCCTGCTGGCACATTGCGCCCCATACAAAATTCAGGGTATCCATGTAGGACATGTCGTGGGTATGTGGGGAAAAGAGCAGTTCCACAACCAAAACCACGGTCGTTATGATCAGTAGCATTAAAATCGAAACCCACACATCGTTCTCAAAGGGCATGGCGAATATATTGGCCACCGCCGAAAGAGGTGGCTGCCGGAACATAATCCCAGCTCTCACTCGATAAGTCTCGGCCACAAAATCGACTAAAGCAATACGATCCAATCTCATGAAGATCGCCAGTTGGGCCAAGTCCAGTTCGTATCGCTGAAAGCGACCCATCAGACCGTCGAAAGATCCATTCGGCTGTCGCCATCCATAGTTTACGGTTTGATAAGTATTGTAGCTGAAACGGAGATTTATTTAAATAAGATTCTTTTAATAAGATTTAGATAATATTAAATATTTTAAATATAAAATTGATTAAATTAAATATAGGGAGCTCTGGATTAAGAATTATACAATTAAATTTGTGCAATTAATGAAAAACAAAATATTTTAAATATAAACAGTAAAATTTTTCTAAGAAAGAATTATTATAATGGGATTGCATTTATTTTTTGGCTAGGATTAATATTGAATAGAAAACAGAGAGTAATCTGATCTAACCTTATATTCAATCGATTGGCCAGCTCCAGCATTAAGCGATGATTGACCTTTGATATAGTATCAATATGTCTGAGCGTCAAATCTTCAATATTTGTAAATAAATCCGGAAAAGCAATAACTATAGCCGAGTTAAATACTATTCCCTCGAGATTTTGCCTGTATGTGATGGCTGATCCAAAATGCTGCAGTGCATGAACTATGTGCCTGCGATTTCGAATGTTGTGTCCAATCAACTTTTTCTTCAATGGTTTCCAAGCAGCTACCTTGTACAGATCGATCAAGCTTGATGAAAAGTTGCCGTCTTTATATTCGTAGTGGAGTACTTTTAATTCACTATCCGGAGGGATAAATATCTCGGGATCTTCCAGTAAATCGATATCCGCCGGATCCTCGCTAAGAAGCAACCAAAATCGATTGGTGGTGAAGTAGTTGTGTTCCGAGGCCGCTGACCACCGAAGTAGATTTAATGCACACTCGCTGTTGAATTCCAGCAGAAGGACACCCATTTTATAAGGCAACATGGGGAGTACAAAGGACGTCTCCCAGTGGGTGGAGTTGTTGGCATGGAAACTCTTCGGCGGTGGTGCATCCTTCAGGTCATCCAGGACATCGACATGCCGCAGGTCCCTTAGCGAGGTCGCCGTACTGACCTGCACATAGAAATCGTTGAGGTTGAAGTGCTGCCATAGAGTCCAAAGGCGTGAGTCCGCTAGAGGGAAAAAATGTATAGATACAGTTTACAAAATTGTAATTTTGTATTATTTAACATTAAAATAAAAAACTTTAAAAGTTCTTGAATTTTCCAGACCAATGTATTGGTTTAAAAGCTTCATTTATAAAATCTTAATTTAGAAATAAAAGTGTTTGATATTAATTTTTTTAGTCAAACCTTAAAGGTTCAAAAATATTAGTTTTGTATGTATATAAAATGACTGGTGACTTAATAATATTTAAATTGGGGCTTAAAATAAAATTTAAATCTGAATCTTTGGTAGACAGAAATATTTCTTTTATATCTTTTAACAGATAAACGTTTGCTTCAAAATCATAGATCTCATAAAAGTATGCTACACTATATTTATAATCCAGACGTTCCATGCATAACTGCCGATTAAAGAAACAAAGTAACTATAAGACATCGAATAAAGTAAGAAAGTAGATAACTGATAATTGAAAATAGAAATAAATCTATTTCAAAGTCTATTAAGATTTTTGTCTGTGCATTGACGGGTCATAAATTTGACCCTTAAAGCACATTGCATGCAGAGGGTTAATTCACCAATGTCCGTGTGACAAACGACCAGCATCAGGCTGTGAACGCCGTGGTGGCGATAGTAAGCGACTAGCATATCCGGCAACTGATTGCCCCACCGTGTTTTCGAGTCCGGATCCTCCCGGGAATTTTCGCTCCGCCAGCTGCCACCGACACGTGGCACCATCGCACTGACAAGCAGGAAAAATAGCAGGGGGAGCCATCGGAAAACTTGAACTTTCATCACTCCGAAAATTAACGAGTTGCTGTCTTGTCGCTTTTGCATTTTCCCGTTGCACTTTTTCGGTTGCTGGACGCGTTGGTCACTGTCCCTGGCTTTTATAGCCAAAGTACATTCGCCGGTAATTGCATTCAAGAATTGCATTAAAATTATGCATTGATTACAGTCCACTGCACGGCACATCCTTTGGCTTCGTCCTTCCATCTGCCGTCATTACGTTGGGCAATCTTCCCCAGCAATTTCGCGACAACTGCAATTGGTCATCGATGGCGTTTAATTGGTCCGAGCAAGTGGCGCACAAATTGTCCTCGTGGAAGTGCGGACAAAGTCAATTACGTGTCAACGACAACCGGAACGGAAAAAGTTTTTCCGACTTTCAGGACTTGGTTTGGCATTCGGAGGATAAGCACATAAGTTGGTCGTGGCTTTGGGCGAAAGAAATTGGAAAGTTTATCTGTGTGGTTCTTTTAGGCAGTCTTTACTTGCTATTATCGGTGAATTTATTACTTTAATTTTTGTAATAGGCCTAATGAATATTTTTGGAGTGTGTAAACAATACATTTTCTAGTAAGGACTTATTTATTTACAAATTAAACAATTAAAAATGTAATTTGAAGTTAATATTTCAAAGCTGTTACTTTGATATGACTTAAATTATTTATATCTTAGTCAAAAATTCTTTGAAAGCCTTTATTATTTATTATTAACTTTAATTCGACCAAACTAAATTCTAAAAAAGCAAAAGGGAGTATATATTTTCTGTAATATTTATCCAAAAAATCGTGTGAAACAAACAAAAACTACTCCAGAACTAATCTTCTATGCCCTCAATAAAGTTTCTTTGCCAGATTAATTGTGCATGCTAAATCTTTTTCAAGCTTTTAATCCCAACTTTAAATAAGCTGAATAAAATCAGTTAAGAAGTCAAGTTTCAGCCTGAAGGCATGAGCATTAAGAAGCAATTAAGAAAATTGAAAGGAAAATAAGGCAGCAAAAAAATAAGCAAATTTGATCAACATGGGGTAGGTACATATAAAGACACATGCGTTGGATAGAGGAACTGGTATTAGCACGATGTCACAGGACAATAACAAAATATACGGAAAAAGGACATTTCCACACATACATAAAGCCCCACCCCCGACGACATTAACACAATTACAATCTGAACATGTGTTAGTCTTCTAAGACATGCGTTGACTATAAAGAAAAATCCAATTAAAAGTGATAAAAGTTATTGAAGCGTAGCGTAGAAAAAAAGGAAAGCCATTAGAAGAAAAACAGCAGGAAAAACAAATGGGCGAAATGCGGAAATGCGGAAAGGAAAGTGAAAAGGCCGGAAAGGAAGGCCGTACAAAGTGGCTGCCATTTGTGGCATGGTATATAGCGCTGATTGCAACACCAGATTATCACACAGATTTGGCGAGTGGCGAGACATGCCAAGGACAAATCAAGATTCACTCTCCACCTCCGCTCTTCCCTAAATTGGTTAGGGTAATCATTCATCCACCCAAACGAAAAGGAAAGATTTTCCACTTGGAAAACATTTTCCGAATCAATTAAAGCTTGAAGGCAACGGAAGGAAATTGAGATAAGGGTAACTGAATTTTAGATCATCAAGCTAATTGGGTCAAAGAAAACACAAAAATGAAATAAGAACCAAACCCGGCCAATAAATTGAATATAACAAGTTTTTTTATCTCTGCCTTTTTATAAATTAAGCAAGATGATCTTCTATCTATTAAAATTAAACTGATATTTAAAAATATAACTGACTCCCCTTCTCCCTATTCCAAATTGTTCCACTGCCTAAAGAGTTATTTTAATCATCTTTACAAATCATTCGATTTTAAAACTGTGAGACGTAAAATTTTAATAGAGAATATCCATTTTATTGGCGATGGTAGGAAAAAAGGCTATTCAATGATCATTGGTCAAAATTGTATTATTTATTTTTAATTGTTGCTGACATATTTTTTTGAACGGTGCTTATAATCTTCATAAAATGTACCTATTTTCATTGCGCTTCCTGTCTTCTAGCCTCCTTTTCAGCAGCGGCCGCCTCCTTTTTAAGCTGATCGTCTCTTTTTGATGTATGTTTGCGCCAATTTTTGACGACTTTATCAAATTCTTTTAGCCGGGCCTTTTTATCTTTCTCTGACTCTGGGTCCTGTCCAACGGCACTTTCATCGATTTCATCCTCATATCCTCCCGGGGGCAGAGCATTGAAATGGCTGTTGTGGAAAGCTGAGCGATTTCCATCGCGAAAGAAAAATCGCTTCGTTCGATTGTACATATGGGGATAGTTCTTAAATTCTAGGCGATCGTCTTCCACCCGAGTACTAAAAACCAAGAGAGTTAAAATGGCGATAAAAGGCAGGACGCCGAAAAGGGAGATCCTTTGCCATATCTTGGAATGTCCAGTAGTTGCTAGACAAATATAAGCTTTGTTTATTTTTGGAACTAAAATAATATATATTTCAAAAATACTGACGTGGTTTTTTATCGGTTACGGCTAGGCATCCCAAGTCTCCCCCTTGAATTGCAGTTAAAGCCAGTTTCTTCTTTTGCTTTGGTTTACCAAGTAGCAATTCATCACATGTTTTGAGTTTTTTTTTACCTTTATCTTTTGTTGGGTCAGGTTTGAATATTGGTTTGCATTTCGTTCCGCCTTTTATAGCAGTTTCATCTTTCGGCTTGGTGTCTTGTATAACTTTCGTCTCCTTACTCGTTGTATCTACTAGACAGTACATTTTAATTACACTCAAACATTAATAAAATGAGCTGCGCCTGTTAACCTTTTTTAACTGGTTCAGAGGATTTGGCATCTTTACCCTCTTTACCCTCTTTACTCGTTGTATCTATTAAGAGGTGCCTTTTAGTATATAATTTGTATTGTAACCTACGCCTTTAACCTTTCTTTCCTGTATTAGAAGATTTTGCATCGCCAGATTTTGACATAAAACGCAGGGAAAAACCAGTGTTTATTGCACACCGTGGGTATATATATTTTACCATTTGTGTGCGCCGCATTTTAAAAAAAGTAAAAATGATTTTTGTATGCAGAGGCCGAAACTTGAATTTATAAGAAAATTATTGTCTAAATATAAATCTTAGAGGCGAATAATGTCAATTACCAGCCTACCTAGAAGATGTTAAATTCAAGGAGTGAAATTATTAAAAGGTTTTAAATTAAAAAAGTTACTTAAGTCTAACAACGCGATATTTGTTTTGTAATATTCAACTTCGTTTCTTTGAATTAACAATTTGTCTGTCCTTTGTTTTAAAGCTGTGTTTATAATTTTATTTTTAAGGAAGTAAAGGTTTTTTTTTTTATTTTTTGTATAAATATTTCAGTTTAATACAATAACAATTTTTTTGCTCTTGCGTGAATGTCCAAAGTTAGAAGGCGGCAGTTCATTAATCATTTTGCTCATGCTTTTGGACGTGCGCCTGTCATGTTCAACTATTTTTATATTTTTTCACGCCGTGTTTTCGTTTGGTCAGTTGATTTTTTTATTACTTACTTTTACTTCACAGTAATTTTTCCCTCCATCCGCGCTTGCACTTATGTAATCCATATGGGATTGAAAAGTTTATGATTGCTCTTTAAATGGAGGGGGATTTCCTTTCATCCGCTACTCCAAATGGCTGTTTGTCGGGTTTATTGAGCTCAAAATAATGCAAATTTGTATGTTGGGTTAGTGACCTGTTTTCCATGTAGATTGCGTTCCATGTCGAAGGGTTAATCCTTTGAAGACTTTGCAATTATCGGAGATCTTTCACTTGACTGATTTGTGTGTGATTTGCATATGGAACAAAAGGCCTTTTGACAATTAGTGTGTGTATTTATAGAACCCTTGTAACCTTTTCCACCTTTATTGGGCTCTATTATTTTTGTGTTGTATTTTTTGTAGCTCCAGGCTAAGCTAAATTTAAGTATGCTTGGTGTTTATTATGCAACCACAATGTGCTACTTTGTGCTACCTTTTGGCTTTCACGCCTTTGAAATACATTTAATCCATCATTGCACAGTCGAACATGTTGAATCTATAATAGGGTGAACCGCTTTGCCGTCATCAAAATTACGTATACGACCTGTGGACTGGGTTGCATATGGTTTAATTAGTCTCAAATCAGAGAATTAATCTTAAAATATTATTTATTTATAATTATAACTAATTAGAAACAAGAAATATGCAGATTAGAGTTTGTCATATTAAAATAAAAAATTAAATTAAAAAAAAAACAAGACAAAGCCTTAACCTTAGAAATATTTGTATTAGAATAACATTTAACAAACATATGAATTGACTTTTGAAAACAGCTAGACAACAGCTTATAATTTTTGTATAATGGCAGATCTTAGTTTACCCTAATGCAAATATATCCATTCAAGGGATCCAGGCCTAGCCCTTGGCCATGTCTGACTGTCTACAGCTTTATTGACTCCCCGTTTTCAATTTGCCCCAACATAAGAGCCCCGAGGAACCTGTTGAAAAGGTGCAAAATCGCTCATTCATTCGTTAGCTCGTCCTCGTTTACCTTTTGCCCCTTTCCTGTTAGGCAAACACGCTTAGGCAGCCTTATCAATCAAAGGTATCTCAGTATATAGACTCGAACACACCCATGGAGATACAGAACACGCCCACACGTATGTTATTAATAAGGGCCATTTATCAAGGGCTGGGACCCGTGAATGGTGCGAATGCGAAGCTCCTCAATGCAATGTGCCAGCTCAAGTAAAATTCGGATTAAAGTGTGTGTCTCCTTTTTTTCCTTTTTTTTGATTTAAGTATTTTTATGCCTGTTTGTCGTGCGATGAAATCGTGAGTGTGGTAAATGCTATTTAAGTTAAATGGTTTCACTGGGCGTCAGGTGGCTAATGAAATGGGCTGTAAAGTATCTCACAGGCAATTAATATTGATTGGAAACTCATAAATTTGGCGGGATAATTTATGACGTGAGAAAATGAAGATAAATCTTTAGGGAGGCTCTGGGAAATGAGTTTGATTGAGAAAGCTTTTTCAGCTAATTGATAAAAGAGATTCGGAATTTGATTTCCATTTGGCAAATGAAATAATTTAAAGAGCATAACATGATTTATTGTATAATTGACAGTATTGTTAAAATTATTTGTTATTTATAGTAGATTTTGACAGTAAGTTATGTACTATCGCTTTAGCTCTTAGTTTTAATGACACAGACTTAAATCAACCAAATACTTATCTTTCTCTGAATGCTCCATTAGGCTGACCCACAAAATCCCCGTTGGAGACAGCGCGAAGGATATACAATAGAGCTCAATATGTCAAAGTTCGTTGGCCATTGAGATTAATTAATGGAATGTAAAATGAACAGCGGCAAACAGCAGGAAAAGCAGCGAAGGCAGATAGTCGGGCAATTAGGCCAAAATCCCGAAGCCCAAGGACAAGGACAAGGACCTCAGCTGGATACGATAGCTTCGACGGATACGGAGGAACAAGAAGAACCCCGGCCAGCACAGATGGGTATCGCGGATAATTTGTGAAAATTGATGATTTGTTTAGATTTACGAATGAGCGAACAAAACGAGCCAAATTGGCACGTAGCAAGGACGAAAAGGAAAATTCGAACAAAGGGAGAAAGGTGTTGCCATTCCTCCGAAAGCAAAAGAGGGCTTTTCCCCGCCCTTTTCAGCAAAGAAGGCTTCAAGGTGTTCGCTAATTGATTCGATATAGATAAATGACCTCAGAGGCTAGATGGTGCCAGATAATGATTAACGAGCTCTTTTTATGGGCCTTCAGGCGGAAGTTATACTCCATTTTCCCGGCCTTGTTATTCACGCGTTATAATTAGTATGCCATCCCTGGGAAGCCTATGAAATTCCAATAGCCACCAGAAATTTGAATCGTGTTGCGGCCATAAGCCTTAATTACTTGTTGATTATAAATTATTGCCAAGTGAAAGGAGAGCCCGGGGAAACCATTTGCCTTGACTGCTGATTAAATAACTGAATTAGACGCCAGACTGTCTGCGTCATCAACGAATAGTTTAAATACGGAAGTCTTAATTGATTGTTTGAGATGTCCTTATTATATTAATATTTTATACAAATTTTATTACAAAAACAAATTATTTGCCCTCTTGAAAATATTGAAGCATATATTAAAGTTTGCGTAACTCAAAACTGTTTCTTGGAAGCAAAAATATAATGTCTATATTTACTTATTTTTATATTTAAATTATAGCTAGACAATACAACATCTTACATACGTATACGTATTTTTTTTGGATTACTTATACTGGATTACGTATACGTAATATTTATGGATGTACATGATATCACTTATACGTAGAAGTTTTATTATTTTTTTATGCTCTAAGAGCAAAAACATAACAATCTTTGCAAAAACCCTAAAATACTTATTGAACTATAAAAAAAGGTACGGAGTAGATATGAAATGTAATACCAAAAGTGCGCCAAAGATAAACCATTGAAACGTGTAAAAACCAAAGTTCTATTTTTGTTGAGAAAATTATCTGTTTTGTTTGGGTAATTCCCTTATATTTCCCACTCGTCCACAAAGTAATCGACACTAAGTGTCTCAAACCAATTAAGATCGAATGAATGAGTCTTCGTAAGACGACGCAAAACTCCGCACACTTGGGCTAGATAAGACCAATATTTTATTGTTCTGACGGAGATAATGGCCAGAATGGCGAGATTTCGTTTTATTAACTATTTTTCATTAATTTGCGCGATATGGCCGGGGACTATTTAAAGATGCCTCACGAGCCTCTGTGTTGTTAAAGTAAAATGAAGTGCGTCCGATTCTCATTGCTGGTGATTGGCCTGCTGGCGGCTCCGACTGCCTGGGCTCGAGTTCCCTATCCGGAGGTGGAGCTTCCTCCACTTATCCAGGATGATGACATCTTCGACCGGGTCGTCGTGCGTCCCCAGCCCGTGGGTCGTTCCGGAGGTAGGTGGTTATAGAGATAATGTTAGGGAGATCTCATTAAGGTAACAATTTTTTAAACTTATTTTCAAAATGTGCATTGCTTAATTAAAATACAAAAATAATTTTAGGAGGAATACCTTCAAACTAGACCTTACATAACTATTTATTTGTCTGTAGTATACTAAAGTGAAAGTAACTTAAACTACTTAAACTAATACTTGAACCGCACAGCCTCTTTCTAATACTAAATTATTAAAAAAAAGTTTATTTCGTAAATCTTAAAAGCGATAAAATTGAAATGAACTATATGTTCCAAAAATCAAAGAATGGTTTTTTATTAGCAGAAAATAGGAACTGTTTTATATTACAATGTCTTATTTAGACGATTTAGTAAGGGGATTATTTTATCTATAGTGCGAAATTAAATCCAATTGATATTTAAATTCCCTTTCAGCCTGCAGTGTGACAATCCGCGGAGGACTGCCCAGTCCCCAGCCCGTCTACCTGAAGACCGACTCCGAGGACTTCTATCCCTTCTCCGACACTGGTGTAATGGAATTCTCGTCGGGCGGCTCCCTTCAGCTGTGGTGTCCCTCCGGCTTCAACACCCATTCCCAGAACCTACTCACCGCCAGCTGTGTGAGTGGATCGACCTTCAGCGTGGACGGATCTCATTTCGAGTTCAAGGACCTGTACTGCAAATCCTGGCCGGGATTCAAGGCTGTTAAATCGGGAGCCACCTGCAATGGTGGCATTGTGATCCGCGTCGGTTTCGAGATCACCGCTTCGCGGTTTGCCGAACAAATGCAGATTTGCTTCAACGAGGAGGAGGAGGTGACCCGCTACACTCGCCACAAGCTGGAACCGGGTAGCAATTACTATGAGACGGGCGTGGCTAGGATTACCTTCCAAACGGCTGGCTATTTCGATGGCAAGAATGTGGACAAGCTGTACACCCAGGCCACCCAACTGGAGACGATCAACAAGGATCTGGGTGGCGATGCGGACAAGTACTTCGATAGTGCCAGCAATGTGTACCTGGCCCGTGGTCACCTGGGAGCCAAGGCGGACTTCGACTACGCCCCTGAGCAGAGGGCCACTTTCTTGTTCATCAATGCCGCTCCCCAGTGGCAAACCTTCAATGCTGGAAACTGGGCCCGCGTGGAGGATGGTCTGAGGGCCTGGGTGTCCCAGAACAAGTTGAATGTGAACTGTTATACGGGTGTCTACGGTGTGACTACCCTGCCCAACACTCAAGGCGTGGAGACCCCACTGTATCTGGCCAGGGATGGCAACAACAATGGCTTGATCCCAGTGCCCAAGCTCTACTTCCGGGTGGTCATCGATCCCTCATCTCACAAGGGCATTGTCTTCGTGGGCGTCAACAATCCCCATCTCACCGAGGAGCAGATCAAGCGGGACTACGTCATCTGCACGGATGTCAGCGACCAGGTGACCTATATCAACTGGAAGCGCACGGACATCAAGACCGGATGGTCCTATGCCTGCGAGGTGGCCGATTTCCTCAAGACCGTCAAGCATCTGCCCGCTTTGACCGCCAAGGGAGGTCTCCTCGTCTAAGTGGTGATCAAATAAAATCCACAACTGTTCAGAAATTTATTTCCTATGACTATAATGACCATCGGGATTAAAAGATAGTGGTTGGGACTATATTTTAGGCAATTCCCCTCATTCTGTTCCATAATCTTATTGATCCAGTCCAAATGGACGAAGACGTTGGTATAAACCGATGGCAAGGTTTTGGATCCGCAGCCAATTCGATAGCTCACCACCCCAAAAACGGTTTCGTTGTGGATCAGTGGACTTCCGGTGTCACCGGCACAGGGATTCTCATCCAGGCTGTTGTTCAGATTTCCGGCACACATCATCTCCTCCTTGAATGTGTGAAGCTTCTTCTCACAGATCTCACGGGGCAGTAGCTCCACGTCGATGTGCAGGATGTTGGAGGCCAAGGGACCACCCTAAAAAGCACTCCAGATTGGTTTAGTTATATTTTTATTACGGAGTAACTCACTTTATAGATCCGTCCCCAGCCCAAAACCGTGTAATTGATACCCGGTTCTGGATCGTTTGTGGGCAGATTGATCACACCCACTTGCGGATTGTCCAAAGGCAGTTTCTTGTCCAGCATCATCAGTGCAATGTTGTGCGTGTTGAAGACTGTGAATTTCTCCGGTACAAAGATCTTCTTTACTGGCGTTTGTACCGTGAGACCCGAATGGTATTTCAAGCGATTGACGTTTCCAGCCACAACGAGCAATACCCGACTTCCATGTATAATCTTGCGCTTGCTTTTAATGGGTTGGTTATACAAAAAATGCCAGATTCGAATAAATATAATGATTGCTATACCTACTCCATGGCGCAGTGGGCGGAGGTCAGGATGTATGTCTGCGATACAATGACCCCACCGCAGAAGTGATTGTCCCCGAAAAAATGGCGGGGCGATCGAGATCGAATGGAGACCACATATTTTGCCAGTGTCAATGTTTTCTTCTCATCGAACAAGGGACTTGAGAGGCGTTTCTCCCGCCGAAGGATATAGTGGGTCCCGGACTCGGAGGATAACGGCAGGAGCAACATGAAAAACAGCAGGAAACTGCACAAATTTCTGGATACATTATTATTCACTAGTAACATCAGAAGGGTTTTCTAAAAATTTGACAGATAACACATTTCTTTTGTTTCTTCTTTAAACACAAGTAAAAGAAATAGTAATTTAAAGGTATTTTTTTTGCTAAAGCTAATCAAGTTTTTCTTTATTATTTTAATGCTCGGATTTCTTTTTATTTCAACTTACCCAAAAGGCAAAAGAAATACAATTAAAACCAAATATACTCCAGCTCTTTAGATATCCTTACGTATACATCCCCATTAAATAGGCAAATTTAAATCAATTTTACGAGATATTTATTTATTCTGTTCGAAACTTAGACCAGCAATCCACTGACGGAGAACTGGGGCAAATGGTCAACCTTCTTGCGGAACTCGGGCACCTCGCAGGCGTAGGAGTAACCAGCGGTGATGTCCGTCTTCTTCCAGCTGATCCAGTTGATCTTATCACTGACATCAGTGCAGAGGATATAGTCTCGCTTGATCTCCTCCAGACTCAAATGGGGATTGTTCACGCCGATCAGAACGATGCCCTTCTTGGTCGAGGGTTCGATGACCACTCGGAAGTACAGTTTGGGAACCGGGATCAGACCATTGCCATTGCTATCGTGGGACAGATACAGTTGCCTCTGCTCTCCATTTTTGTTGGCCAACGTGGTCACTCCCCAGACGCCCGTCCAGCATTCCACGTGCTTGTTTTCCTTGGCCACCCAGGCGCGAACTCCATCCTCCACGCGGGCCCAGTTTCCGGCATTGAAGGTCTGCCACTGGGGAGCGGCGTTGATGAACAGGAAGGTGGCCCTCTGCTCCGGGGCAAACACGAAATCGGCCTTGGCACCCATGTGACCACGGGCCAGGAAGACGTTCTTTGCCGAGTCGAAATAACGAGACGAATCCATGTCCAACTCCTTGTCGATGGTCTCCTTTTGGACTGCCTGGGTATACAGCTTGTCCACATTTTTGCCCGCAAAGTAACCGCCAGCACCGAACGTGATACGATCCACTCCGGTGGCATAGTAGTTGTTTCCTGGCTCCAGACGATGGTAGACATACCTGGTCACCTCCTCGTCCTCGTTGAAGCACACCTCGTACTGCGTGGCGAATCGCGAACCAGAGAGTTCAAAGCCCACCTTGATCAGAGTGGTGCCACCATTGCAGCTGGAACCCGACTTCTTGCCCACAAAAGCTGGCCAGGATGTGCACTTGATGGCGGACAGGTCGTGCTCCTTATCGTCAATCTTGAAGGTGGTGCCACCCACACACTTGGCCGTCACGGATTTGCCGGACAGCGGAGAGGCCAAACTGCTGGTGCAGTGGAACTCAATGGTCTTGTCCTTGTCCACATCCACGTAACCGCTGTTCGAGAAGCCAACAATTTCAGAGGTTCCCGACTTGATCAGCAGGGGCTGGGGATCCTTCAGCTCTGAGCTGCGGATCTTAATCGAGCAACCAGCTTAAATGGGGAAAGGAGATTGGTTAAAAATCAAGTTCCAATTTAAGTTAGATTTATTTATTTGGCTATGTGATACTTCATAAATATTTTATGTATAGATTCAAAAAACACACAATCACAATCCATAAAACTGTATATTATTTTAATCTTTTTCTTATAATAAATATTACAATTTTAATCAATATGACTTTGTATTTAAATGTTATAATTATGAAAAGTAAAATTTAAAATTGTATTTCATAGTTTCTTGAATTTTTTTTTTTTTGTTTCTGTAACTATATATAATGATATTCTTTCAAGTTTAAATTTAAAACTCATGTTATTCATGACATTAAAATAATTCAAATAAATAACTATTGAAAAGTTTTATAAGTAAGTACATTCTTCTTGATTTAATTTTAAACTCACCTGCTCTTGGTTCAACTACATTAACTACTTCCGGAACTTCCGGCAACTCCCAGAGGAGATCCTCCTCCTTTGGCAGGATCCTGGCCTGGGCACTGGCCAAGATGAGCCCACTCAAGGCAATCAACACTAGACCCTTCATGTTTCGCAACTGATTTGGCCACCGGGAAGAGCTGGTGCTTTTAAACCAACTGGCCGTCTGATGATTGATTAGATTCCCCTGATTGCGACCGTGTTTACGGGTTGATATCGGTACTTGTTGATGCTTTGATTGCTTCACGTGTCCCCAGATTTGGGTGCTTCTCCACCATCGTCGGCATTATCATTTAATTAGTTTTGGCCACCGCGATTAGACTGCTTCCCGTGAGTTGAGTGCCAAATTAAATACGTGTGATACGGATAGAGCTTCTTCCCCTTTCACGTGACCAGCACGTTTGGTTATCGCTTAATAAATAAAGTTGGGTTTTTCATTCACAAATATCAAGTTTATTATTTATTTATCGTAAGGTATACATCAACTCACATTTATTGGTTAGTTTTAAACTGGCTGTCTAGTGTTCTTTTGGCGCAACTGTACTTAAGATTACTTACTATATATACAACACTAATAGATATGGTTTATTTTGCTTAGTTTTTTTGTACGTCACCGACATCAACTTGAGATAGCTGAAAGTATATACAAATTCAGTTTTGAAGCATATCATATATTTTATTGTTTTACTTTTTATTAAATTTATTTTTATTGTGTCTGTTACTTTTGTTGGGCTTTTTTATTTGTTTTGGATAGACATGCGATTTATTTCATTAAATTTAAAGCTTTCAATTTGGTTTTGCAATAAAATGACTTTTATCTATTAACTTAATTGGAGAAATTATCTGTTTTTCATAAACACAAAAATTGTTATTTTATCTCTTGGAGAGCTCTTCTATTTCTTATCTTGTTGGGTAGGAAATTTCCTATTTATATTTTGTATACACTTAGAGTTATTTCTATTATTGTTCTTATTATAACAGAAATTATTGATAACTTTGACCTTTTTGTTGAGGTATTTACAAGTGCAAGAAAATTATGTATAGCAGTTGGAATCAACAAAATACAGTTTTCTGTGAATTGTAAATTTGATCAAATAATTTATTAAATACTCAAATTTTTCTATACTTCAAATTAAATTCAAAATCGTTTCATGTTTCCAAAATCCCACAGGCAGCGATTATTATATAAGTATTCAATAGCATTTAAGTTGCGTTATGAGTAAGTATGAAGCTTTAGCTGAAGTCAAAAGAGATCTTTTTTGTTTTTTTACATTTTATTTATATTTACATTTAAAGCTGTAATTTTTTTTGCTCACAAAAAATACCTAATGGTCTTTGGAATGAAAGTAATAGATCGATTGGCCTTGGAAGAACCCTTTTTGTCCTGGAAGATCTACAGGAATATGGCGATCTGTGCGTATATCTCGACGGCCACCAGGAGGCCCATTATGGATAGATTCACAGCGCAGTAGACGCGTCGCAGTGGACGTCGGCGTGGCTGACCACGACATTGGCCACCCTTCGTCCGCCCAGGTTCCATATGCTGGCCCTCGTCAGGATCGCCGTCGTCGTCGTCGGTCTCACTTCCGCTTCCTCCGGATCTGTTCTCGCTGCCGCTGCAGTTGCAGTTGCTGTTATGGCACTTTCCCCTGACATTTCTATCACTGGCCCCAATGGCTGCATTTCCATTTCCGGTTCCCGATTTACATGGCGGCCAATGTCAAACCGACGCCAGCGACGAACTGCTGTCATAGGCCACCAAAAGTGAGTCGTTCTCATCACTGCCGCTCCCCGCACTCTTCTCCGATTCGTTAATGACCTCCAGTTGGGTTTGCGGCCGGGCGATTTTGTACTTGTTGTGCCGCTTGTTGATCAGCACGCTGCGAATGTTGTTGTTGGTGCGGCGACCTCCGCTCCGCTGACCCTTGACCTTCATCACTGCGGATCGTGGCTTGGATCGCGATCTAGTTGCCTTACTGGCCCCCAACATACTACAATCCGCATCGTCCTGCTGCAGCCCCAATTGCTGCTGCTCCGCTAGCTCGTCATCGTCGTAGTAATCGTAGTAATCATCGTAGTCGTAGCTCACTTCATCCTCCGTATCCAGGCCGTAGGCCGCCTCATCGTCGTCGTCATCATCTTCGTTATCATCGTCATACTCGAAATCGAAATCGAAGATGGCGCAACATCCGCCGGAAGTTGCCTCAATGCTATGGCGACGCCTTGACCGCTTGGTGTACGTGTATGTGTGCGACTTATTTGTACTAACACTCTTGTACATTGGCGCAAAAATGGCGGTCTTGGCCTGATGAAATGAAAGAATATAAAAAAAGAGAGGTGGTGAATTAATAAAGGTCATTGATATGCCTAATACTCATATTAATTAGGTTCATTGATATACTTAATACTCATATTAATTAATGAAATAAGTTAATTAACAGCAAGACAAATAAATAATTATAATAGACCGTGGGGCCACCACCATCTTGTGGGATACAAATAAATTATGTCTAGACGCATGTCCTAACATGTGTGCCACACATTTATTTATGATTTTCTTTCTAAGCGCAAAAAATAATAAGGTTTGCGTGGAAAATTTTGACTGAAATTATAATACCCTTTGCAAGGTGTTGTGATATCTAATATTAAAATGGGTCAAAAATTTGATCAACGTTAAATTGAAAATTTTGAATGCAGATTTTTAGAGAATCGAATCACAAGTCTTTAGAGGTATGCCACTTTGGAATCGGATTAAATTTGGTAAAGTTATGGGCTCTAGAAGTCCAATTTGGAGTCACTCTTTTACAAGACATCGGAAAATGGGAAATAACTAACATGAAAATGGGTGAAAAATTTGATCAACGTTAAATTGAAAATTTTGAATGCAGATTTTTAGAGAATCAATTCACAAGTCTTTAGAGGTATGCCACTTTGGAATCGGATTACATTTGGTAAAGTTATGGGCTCTAGAAGTCCAATTTGGAGTCACTCTTTTACAAGACATCGGAAAATGGGAAATAACTAACATGAAAATGGGTCAAAAATTTGATCAACGTTAAATTGAAAATTTTGAATGCAGATTTTTAGAGAATCAATTCACAAGTCTTTAGAGATATGCCACTTTGGAATCGGATTAAATTTGGTAAAGTTATGGACTCTAGAAGTCCAATTTGGAGTCACTCTTTTACAAGACATCGGAAAATGGGAAATAACTAACATGAAAATGGGTCAAAAATTTGATCAACGTTAAATTGAAAATTTTGAATGCAGATTTTTAGAGAATCAATTCACAAGTCTTTAGAGGTATGCCACTTTGGAATCGGATTACATTTGGTAAAGTTATGGGCTCTAGAAGTCCAATTTGGAGTCACTCTTTTACAAGACATCGGAAAATGGGAAATAACTAACATGAAAATGGGTCAAAAATTTGATCAACGTTAAATTGAAAATTTTGAATGCAGATTTTTGGAGAATCAATTCACAAGTCTTTAGAGGTATGCCACTTCGGAATTGGATTAAATTTGGTAAAGTTATGGACTCTAGAACTCCAATTTGGAGTCACTCTTTTACAAGACATCGGAAAATGGGAAATAACTAACATGAAAATGGGTGAAAAATTTGATCAACGTTAAATTGAAAATTTTGAATGCAGATTTTTAGAGAATCGAATCACAAGTCTTTAGAGGTATGCCACTTCGGAATTGGATTAAATTTGGTAAAGTTATGGGCTCTAGAAGTCCAATTTGGAGTCACTCTTTTACAAGACATCGGAAAATGGGAAATAACTAACATGAAAATGGGTCAAAAATTTGATCAACGTTAAATTGAAAATTTTGAATGCAGATTTTTGGAGAATCAATTCACAAGTCTTTAGAGGTATGCCACTTCGGAATCGGATTAAATTTGGTAAAGTTATGGGCTCTAGAAGTCCAATTTGGAGTCACTCTTTTACAAGACATCGGAAAATGGGAAATAACTAACATGAAAATGGGTCAAAAATTTGATCAACGTTAAATTGAAAATTTTGAATGCAGATTTTTGGAGAATCAATTCACAAGTCTTTAGAGGTATGCCTCTTCGGAATCGGATTAAATTTGGTAAAGTTATGGACTCTAGAAGTCCAATTGTGGTTTTATAGTGTAATAAAGTGATTTTATTCTCCTATCCTAATACTTAAATGTATTTTGTATTTTGTTGCTAAAATTCTAGTTCAGCATAGACTAAATAAATCATATTGGCTCTATTTTTGGGCGATAACTAAATGACTTACCTCTGGTCCTCGCCATGTAATTCCAGAGCGAACCAAGTTGTAGAAGCGGAGCACTCCCCACATGGCCAGCACCTGTTCAAAAGGGAATACAAAAAAATTGAGTACATAAATATCCATTAGATAAAAGGCCACTCTGCAGATACATTCGCACACATTCGTACTTTTTTCTATAGATACATGAGCTAACATTTTTATGCTGCGTAAATGTACTAATGGACTTAGCTAGTAATTAAATTATTTATTACACGTATTGATTAAGCCGAGGGTGGGATGTGCGCTAAAGCAATTAGCCTCTATTGGTATTGACTGATGCGTAAGCCAACCGAGAGGATAAATAAAAGGCCATTACTAGTAGCACTCGTGCTTAGTTTAATCACTCAAATTGAAACATAACTTTTAATGTATTTTTTTAAATTTCGTATGAGAAACAGTATAACTTTCCACGAACTACTTTTGTATCGCATAATTTGCGACATGTTTAAATTGATACCATTTTCATATCAGTTTTGTGCACTGGGAAATTCCTATGATGTGATTGCAGATGCGTGCCGAGATAAAACGGAGCTCTTTAGCTTTCTGGACTCTAAACAATGGAGAAGTTTCAGGCGCAACGTTGAGAGTTTCCTGAGGTGCGACTTCGCATACTATCATATATATTATTGGTTCATCCTAATATTTAGCTTATATGGAGCGGTAATTTATTAAACTATAACAACTAAATTTAATTTTAATTGTTTAATTTCCCCACTAGATGCACAGTCTTTTTAATTTCGGACGTTTAATTTTCACCAAGGAAGTGAGTAGTAATTCCTTATGGCACAACCATCGATTCAATGTACTGCCGCCAATTGTGATCAGAAGATTAGGACTTGTGAAGGCCTTTATACAGATTAATGTTTGGTCGACATTGTTGTATGGTGCTTTATTTGTAAGTGGTTCAAATATTGTTTTGAGACTAACCAAAAATATGTCAATGCCATAATATAAGTAGATTCATTTTAAATATTTTTAAGGAATTAAGTACTTATATGATTGATATAATTTGTTTCTATTCAAATGCTTCATTGTAAAGTTGTCTTAAGGACTTTCTATTTTTCAAGTTACCTTTTTAGATCCTTTTATAAAAGATAATAATAATAATATGGCATTGATTGTTACTTTGATTTTGTGGTGAATAATAATCTGTTTCACAATTTGCATAGGTGTCACCTAATCACATGGCTCCTTGGTTGTGGGGCCATCTAGTGATAATCGTTTTTAAACTGGCAGCTGCAATTTTAATGCGCATAAGAGGTCAACGACTTCGGACCACAATCTATCTTATCGTTTACATGCTGACCATCTGGCTTGTACGTCAGTCGATGAGAGCATTTTTCATAGCCCTGGAACAGGAGACCCAAGAAAATCTAATGCTCTACTTGCCAATTATACAACCTTTATTACACTATGGAAATAGCTTTGTAATATGAATACAAAAATTATTATGTTCACTTATTTATTTACCTCATTCATTCTACTAACTTAAGCATTTTTCTAATATTTATTTAAACTTACGTTAATTAGGGCTCGAGCAATAAAGAAAGCCACCTCGGCCTTGCACATGGCATCAAATTGCTGGAAGAAAAAGGTTGAAAAATTTAGAGCGTATATTTTATTATAAATTATTATTAATATTTTCACGAGCAGTTGACTCTCCAAAGCCAAACAAACAACTAAAATAAAGTTGCGAAAATGTTAAGCTTCTGTTTTGGAAACCAATTTGCAAGGGCGAAAAGGAAAAGTTTCTAGCGTGAAAATGGAAAGTTTGACTTAGAACAGAGACGAATTAAATTAATTCAAGTGGTTTAGCTGGAGCCATAAATTAAATCTCAAATTTCTGTGAGACCCCTATGTGGTAACCCACTCTTAAGGTACTTTTAATTGTTTGCAAATTTACGAGTTTAACGGAAAGCTTAAAATAATTAGTGAAATAAGTGCCTAACAAATAATGCTAAAATGAAAATTAAAAACAAATTTCTCCTGCGCAAATGATTTGGAAATTCTACAAAACTTTAAATTACAAATTAGTAAAAACCCCTACTCTTGCCAAAGAAAAAAAAACCATAACGCAAAAACTTTGTAATGCCAAAACAGAGAAAAATGAATTTTTACCTTCTGGATTGCAATAAATTATGCATGAGGTGACAATTTTCCGGGAGAAAAAACTTTCCGTGTCCCCCGGCTAGGTGGAAAAACAAACGAAACAAAGGCCGTAGAAAAGCAGAACACGTTCGTAATAGAAAAAGCCGAACAACAAAAACAAATGCCATGCGACACAGACAAATGTAAAATGCTAAAGGAAAATGGTGCAGAAAAATGCCCAACTCATTGCATATGTGCAGACGGACTAGATACACATAGCTAGTCGCAGATACGTTTGTATCTGTGTTTGGGTGCCGCTGGTCTTTGAGTTTTCCAATCTCCTCCCCCACAGTTTTTCCGGCTCGCCCCTTTTCCACCGCCCTTTTGTGGCGCTTTGACTTTGTCGCTTGTTTTAAGTGCGAGTGTGTACTGGGCTCTTGTTCGTCTGTTTGACTCTGAATTTTTATGGGTAAGGGTTTGTTTATTTCCCCCGCTTTTCCTTTTTTTTTTTTTTAGCACGGGCTTTGTGCGCTTCATTTATTTGAAGAAGGCACTTTGGCTGTGTGCAGGATTACGTTAAATAATGATTTAGAAAGCCTTGAGGTCTTAGGAAAAAACAAGCTAAAATTAATATAAATATTTATCTATTTAAAAAATTAAATCATATGTGTATAATAAATGTATAAAATATATATTACCAAAATTATATGATTTCCAATTTACTGTTTAAGAGTAACCTCAGATGCAGCCCTCGACTTTTAATCAACCGTTTTTGTTTTGAATTGGTCCTAAATCGAACATCTGTGACCTGATGTCTATCTATATCCGCCTCCGTGTCGGTTTCCGGTTTCCCCTTGCCCCTTTTCAATTCCCAGCCTGTTGCACTCTGGTTTGTGTTTACATTTACTTGCCAACTTCATTGAAAGTTCTTGCCGGCAATGCATTCAACTGTCGCCAACTTCCGACCATAACCCACAGCTTTTGTTTGATTTTAGCATAAAGGAAGCCAGCAACTTTTTACATATGTAACGGATTCGGCTTGATTTGTTGTCGTTCAAGGCTTTTTGTGTAATTTATTTGTTTGCCTTCGCTGTTGATGCCCATTGATTTATGCCAGGCGTCGAGTTCGCTTATGCAACAAGGACCCCCCGTGGGGACCTCAATCCTTTGTGGGGGATGTTTTTCATTTAACAAATGGTTCCCACAGCAGATCGAAATGAAAACATCTTCAATATGCATTAAGAACATTTTGCTCTGCCCCTGGGATTCAATGGAACACTCACCTTATTTACATGATCGCGCAGAACATTGGAGTAGACCATGGCGACAGCTTCCAGGGCCATAAATGTTATATAGCCAATTATCCAGGGTACAATTAGTCCAGGGTTTTCCTATGAAAACGCGAAAAACATAAAACCAGCTTCAATATATTGCCATTAGGAAATAAAGGGAAAGGGGCCACAAAAACCAGTACCTGTATAGAATTGAAGCTATTGATTTCATGGCTATACTATAAAATATGGCAGGGAGGTGGGTGTTAAAAAGGGTGAGTGCGGTGTAATTTATCTCGCCATGGTGGTAAAACCTCTGATTGGATTTTTTGAAGCTTTTTCATGTGCTAAACATTTTTTTTTTGCTGAGCACGTTGCGAATTTCTGATGTGCAGCTGACAGTTTTTGGCCACAACGTTTTGCATGGCAATTTTGTGGGGCCATAGAAAATGTATTTTGTCAGCGGATTACATTTTAATGTGGGCTATAACGCTTGCCTAATTTATGAAAATATATGTAATCCCCTAATGAACATTTTATTTGACCAAGTGTAGTAAAGGGAATAAAGTAAATGACTACAACTATGATTTCTATTAAGCTAAACCGAATTTTATAGACAAGGTTATTGAAAGCGTAAAATTTCCCCAGCAAACAGTTGATTTAAAGTGTAAACATTTCGATATTTGAATTTGTAAGTGGATTAAAATTCAATTCGAACTTTATTTGTTCGAACCCTTATCTACTTCATTCTGAGAAAAGTGAAGTATAATTGCCATTTTAATAACCATTTATTACCACACTATTTGAAAAGCTAGCACTTAATAGACAAGGTGATGGAAAGCTATTATGCAGGGCTTGTAAGGAAAATGTTTATCTATTATATATGCTATCAACCGCAACTTTTGCTTGTTTTCCTTCACATTTGTTGTCCAAATACTCGTTTAACCTAATTAAGAACCAATGCCCTATGCATTATTTAATGGCCATCAGCTGACGGTTCTCAGCTCGCCTATTAGCGAACTGCAATTAATTTGACCATTACATGGTAACATATTCATTTGCACTCGGTAGAGGAAACAATGGCGTTCATTCTTAGGGGAGAAGTCGCGTTTCTATTTTGGCTGTCAGAGTCGAAATTAAAAAATTCCACAAAATGTAGCCAACGATTGCTCAGCAACAAAGCCCGAACTGAATTCGGGCTATGCAATCCACGTCAAATGTCCTGGCAGCTCAGTTCCAGTTTAGTCAGTCAGCCACCATTCCAGTCCTTTGCCAATTGTGTGACAAATTGTTCACATTTTCATGCCGCTCCCAATAACATTGTTGGGTTTTTCAGTTTCTGCGCCGGTCTTTTTCATATGTGGAGTTCTAGTGATGCTCACAGATCAACCGGGCTTTAAACATTTGGTTCAAGTTTTGTATATTTGCATATTTGGAACATAGCAAAAATGGTATTTATTATTGTAGCTTTGGATAATTGTTATGAAATATATTATATTTTTAACTGATTGTAAAAGCTATATCATATTGTTTTTCAAGGATTAATTTTAAATATTAATTTAATGTAGTTATTAATATTCAAATTATTAAATACATGTTTAATATTAGAAAAAAAATCTGTTTTGCATGTACTCTCTCTAGCTTATGAATATATTTCCTAAATTTCTTCAGTGTATGTTTTGGCATTTCACGTGTAACATTTCGCACTCCAAAAAATGATATTAGAATTCTGAGAAGGCATCCACGCGGTGTGAACGCTTTTGTGTAATTTACATTTGAATGTGCTTTGTTTGCACGGTAAACATTTCATGGCGCAAAGGCTCAAGCACAATGCGCATAATTTGCGGATATTTGACTTTGAGTTGTTCGATTGGTGGGCGGAATGTGTGTTTTAGTGGGTTGAGGTGGGCCAACAATGCGCTTAATATTGTAAAATGCTAAAAGCTTTTAATCAAACAAGAGAACTCACCCGACATATTCCAAATATTAACACAATGCTCAGCAATATCATGGACATTTGTGTGCCGATTATAGCAAAATATGCTATTTGTACACCTGCAATGCATAAATATAATTTAAGATTAAAACTGAGTTCAATAAATGGAAAATAATTGAAAATAAAATGGCAGTTCGCACTCGAGAAAGTAAACTTTGGAATATATATACAAATTATTTATAGCTTCCATTATGTCTATTATACTTAAAAGAAAGTTATATGTTTAATTTGTTGTTAGTACTTTAATAAATTTATCAAATAAGAATAAACACCAATTTATTCACTTTTAGTAGCCAAGTCATAAACAATTTAATACTGATCAAAATAGAGAAATGAAACATTTCCAGTTTAAGTTTGATCTCATTAATCAAAATAAAGTGTTCAGCTCCCGTCGCACCATATTTCGTATATATATCGCACTTTATTGCACATACACCAACCAATTTTATTCCTTGGTGGATGACTTCACATCTACATTTAATTTATTTATTAAAATGGCCTTATTTATTATGTGGCTGCTTTTCGTTTCGGTTTTCGGCTTTATTGCCGCTTTGGGTTTTGGCCCAAACGAGCTTCTGTGCGCTTAATTACCAGCTAGACACATCTGAACTTTGAACTTACCGTAGTATACATCCTGCAGGTCGGCAGACTTGTGCATATTGACATTTATGCGCCACGAGTAGATCAGCACGATTAAAAGCGATATATTCTATAAGAAACAAATGACAAAAATACAAAATGAGTCATCAGAGACATGGGAAATGTATTTTGCGAACATAACACGCAAATGCAATGAGCACCCGCATATAAAATGGTTCATGGGTCATCAAAATCTACCCTCATGTTCTGCCACTTCCTCTCCTTTTTTACCCAACTCTTTCTCGTTATTTTTTGCACAACACGTTTTTACTTTTAAACGAGTCTGAACCAAATTTAGGGTCTGAGGTGTTGGCGCGGGTTTATTTTGCTAATTAATCCGTGAAAATGTTTTCATGTCGGCTGTCTGTCTGATGCGATGGAAATTTGATGCCAATTTAACGAGTGAAGGCCAAAAACTCTTGATTATTACATAACTGTTGTTCAATATATATTTATTCCATTAAATTCATTTAAAGTTACATATTTTCGCTTCAGAAATATGATTATTCAATTAAAAGTTGGTTACTATAAACTCAAATAATACTTTTGGTCAATGAAAATAAATTGAGTTTTAAAGAAATCTAATATGAAAATTTTTTTTACAGAATTATTATATTTCCCTGGCACATGAAGCCTCTTATTTTATAAAAAAATTGCTTCAATAACGAAAAACCAATTTCCAGAACAGATAATCCCTATGGGCGAGGCACGAGGTCCTGTAAATAAGCAACGACTATGATAAACAAATGCAAAATGGCGTGCTTTTAAGATACATCCATTATGTGTCGTGACTGCACTCCTCGTTTTAACCCGCACATCCTATGAAACCCCCAGAGTCCTTAACTCAGGCTTATGCTAAACACGTAACGTTTACTTGGCTGAGAAGTGGGGCTACGGGGGAAATCTCTCTTGTTACGTCCGAGGTTGTGCTCGTAACTGCCATAAAATGCAGCACTAATTGCAGAAGCCAAACACTTAAGTTCTCTCCTTAAACAAAAACTAATTTACTCGCCACGAGTTGGTAAATGCCATTGCAACGGGTATAATATGTCTATTATTTTCCGCCAAGTTGCATTGCATTGTTTTTCTTGAAAGCGTCTCTAGCTCTTTATTGTCCCTACAAGGAGTATACAAAATAATATGGAAAAACCTCAAGCACGATTTTGCCATTAACATAAATTAAAAGCCATAACGAGCATCATGTAATTGTAATTTATACATGCCACAAGTCAAAAGATGAGAGGAACGAGTGCAAGTTGTCCTCGTTTTTTCTATTCATTTGGCAAGCTCCACAGAGGTTGGTATTTTTTCTGTCCCAGCAAGAGGGTTAAGTCAGAAGTCGTGACAGTTATTGGTTTATCTTCTGTCATTATACCCTTGCAGAGGGTATTATAATTTTGGTCAAAAGTGTGCAACGCAGTGAAGGAGACATCTCCGACCATATAAAGTATATATATTCTTGATCAGGATCACCTCCTGAGTTGATATAGCCATGTCCGTCTGTCCGTCTGTCCGTCTGTCCGTCTGTCTGTCCGTCTGTCTGTTTCTACGCAAACTAGTCTCTCAGTTTTTAAGCTATCGAATTGAAACTTTGCACACACCCTTCTTTCCTTTGCACGCAGTATATAAGTCGGAACGGCCGGGATCGGCCGACTATATCCTATAGCTGCCATATAACTGATTAATCGGAAATGCCATTACTTTGGTGTTTGTAAAGTTAGGAAGCTGGGATTTACTATGGGTTTTATATTTGGCCAATCAATCCGACCTACCAAATTTCATAAGGATCGGCCGACTATATCCTATAGCTGCCATATAACTGATTGATCGGAAATGCCATAACTTTTGTGTTTGCAAAGTTAGGAAGCTGGGATTTCCTATGGGTTTTATATTTGGCCAATCAATCCGACCTACCAAATTTCATAAGGATCGGCCGACTATATTCTATAGCTGCCATATAACTGATTGATCGGAAATGCCATAACTTTGGTGTTTGTAAAGTTAGGAAGCTGGGATTTCCTATGGGTTTTATATTTGGCCAATCAATCCGACCTACCGAATTTCATAAGGATCGGCCGACTATATTCTATAGCTGCCATATAACTGATTGATCGGAAATGCCATAACTTTTGTGTTTTTAAAGTTAGAAAGTTGGGATTTTTTATGAGTATTAAGAATGCATCATATGAATAATTTTGGAGAATATAATTTACAGAGTATTCTGCAAGGGTATATCAACTTCGGCTCCGCCCGAAGTTAGCTTTCCTTTCTTGTTTTTATTTAAAAAAAAAAATTCTTTTAAGCATCAACATGATTTTTTCTAAAGATTTTACCTTTACCATTATATTAGTATTTTAAGAAATGGATTTGAAGTAAATACTTTTATTCACACCCATTTTTTTATAACCCAAATTCGCTGAAAAGCCCTCGCTGAGAAGGGGAATTTCCGTGACTTGTTCCCCATTTTCCATGCCCTTCATAACCATAATGAGGTTGAGGTATGCCACGGCACATTCAGAATGGTTGCAGAAAAACTCTTGCCAACGACACTTGTCAATTAATTATGCCACAATTAACAGGCGAATATAATGCCATCCGCAACTACTGATTTCGTGCTCCTGTTTTTATACGTGGCTTTTTTGTGTTTCATACCTGGCATTTTCAACTAACGAGAACTAAATTATATACTTGTCCACATTGCGTATACGCCCCGTGTGGTAGCACATTCCCCCAAACACTTACAATTGTGTAAATTGCACTTGTTATGGCCAAATTTTTGGCATGCAACATGCGACAGCAACGTGTGCCGCCGGTTAGCGGTCCATATGGATATAGAATGACAGACTTCATTTTCCGCTCCCAATTTTTGTTTGTTATTTTTTGGTTTTTTCCTGGGCTGCTTTTCCGCTCAGCAACGGCACGACAACTTTTTCAGTTTCGTTTTCATTACGTGGACATTGCGGGGATCATGTCGCCGATGAGGCTGATTCCCTCGGGTTGGTTATTACTGGTGTTCCGGAGGCTTCCATTAAAAAGTAGTCCGCCTGAAAAAATACCAGATAAATTGAAAGCTTTAAGAGTCATTCGCATAAATTGAGTGGATGCTGTTTTGGTATGCGCCGAAGCTATTTATTCTCTTTTTACCGAAATTCAATCAATCTTTAAACATTTTCCATTCACAACGAAAACTCGAGCACTTATTTTATTTTACTTTTTGCATTTTATGTACGACAATTTATTCAACTTGAATGGCTGTGGCAGTGTAAATATCTCATGCGTTCGTTTCTGGTCGAAAATATGTGAAAGTTGCATGCAAATATCGTATAACCGTGACTTAAAGGTTGTTTTTTAAGTGGAAAAAGAATTAATTCCAGATTTTGAACATTAAAAGGGGTCAGTTTTCAGATACAAAGCACAATTACAAATAAATGATTTGGTTATTTTGCTAGCTTCAGATAAACTAACATTTACCATTTGTTAAAAGTCAGTGTCACATTACAATTACAATTATTTTTCGCAAGACGTAATTTGATGATGAAAATAATTGATGGTTATGAATTTGCCAAATTTAAATATTTTAAACTTCAAATGCAAGCCAAATTATTGTAATTTTCAATCACAGCACATTGAAATCAAAGTTAAAGCTTACATTCCTTAAAAAGTGAGCAGAAGATACTAAAGGTCAACAAGCCTTATGTTGAAGGACTCCCCCCAAGCTATCCATCTGGTTGCAGGGCAGATAATATAACCACTTTAAAGCAATCATCTCAATCATCTGACTATCGATTTTTATGCATTTTCCCCTCACAATGCTCGTACAATAGCACTTAAGTTGCCGCTGCTCTATCTGGCAAAGTTTTTCAACAATTCCAGCAAATGTTTTTCGTGTTCGCCAGACTCGCGAGCTATTCGCCCTCACTTGTCCAATCAACTGACAGGCTAAACAAGAGAAACTCAAGCCATTCGGGGAGTGTTTGGGTAATTAATGATGGGAAAAGAAAATACACGCACTAAACGCCACGGAATTGTCAGTTTTTTGACAAATATCACTTGATGGGCTGTCCGAAAACTTACTTAATCAACGCCAAAGAAATCTCTAAGATGTTTTCAATTGGGTTCTGCTTAACTAATTACAGAAAAGCAAACCATGATTGATAGTTCGGTGTGAACTGTACGCAATTGCCCAACCCACTTTAATTGACCTCAAAAAAAAATAAGAAAAACTTTCTTTTTGCCCGCATTTTACGGCGTGTAAACACACTCATATTCACACATTCCGAGGGGGCGGGTAAGGGGGCAAGGACTTGCAAGGACAACGCTATAGAAACATGTACTGCTTTGCTGAGCATATTGAATGGATAACACACACACTCGCTCTGCCAGAAATGTACCAACTAGAACTCATCCCATGGCAACTGAATTCGCATTGTAAAATGTTTACAGTGTCATAAAATATCAGTAACAAATGTGAAACCAGTGGCACAAGCGAAGGCACACATAAAGTAAAAAAACCCAAGAAAATAGGCCAGCAGAGAAATTGTTGGCCAAGTAACAATACAAGAACAATGAAAAGAGAAATCGCGTTCTTTGCATACCCTTCAAGGCATTGTAAATATACCTTTATATGTTTTTCATTTGTTAAAAGGATTTCAAAGAAATCATTTACCATTTTAAAATAAAATATATTTTATATATTTTTGAATATATTTTGCAATATTAAGGAAGAAACTTTTAATGTACTTTCCAAGATGGTAAAATTATTTTCGAAATATTTGAAATAATATAATATAAATTACTTTCTTAGGTAATAACATTGTACTTTATGCTTTATATAAATTCCTATTTAAAATACTACTAAATTTAATGTTTTCAATTTTGCAGAAACGATTTCGATCTTAGAAATAGCTCCAAAGTTTATGGTTAATCAATATATTTATGATGCTTTCTCATGAGTTTATACCGCTATCCAATTACTACACTTTATAAAGCCATTTTGTTATGAAACTGAGAGCAGGGCGTGCAGTTAAAAAGCTTTTTGCATTTTGCATTTGAAAGGCATTGGCTCGGAGTCAAGTGGGCCCGCATATTGCAAACATCAAGCACTTTTCATATCGGCGCCCCAAGCAAAACCCCCTCGGCACCCGTTCCCATAAGAGGGACACAATGAAAATCAATAAAAAATATCGCATTACTTTGGGCTTTGTTTCGAAGTATTTTTTGTTTTGCCTTGTTTGCCTGTATTGTTTGTGTCGATTTCGGCGTATGATTGATTTCGGGACACACGCAACGTCCTTCCAGGCACGAAAAATGTTGCATAACTACACGATACTATGAGGAAAAAAAATTAAATTTCGAATTGCAGTGTGTGACAGCAGCTGTGACAGCTTTGAAGGTTTTTTGTGGTGGGGAAAAGCGCTCTACAAAAACGCTAGTCAACAAATTCGATTCAATAAGCGCTTCACATCATATTTACCTTTTTTTTTGCCCCATTTGGAAAAAAAGGAGAAGTACCGGATTTTTTGGGGAGGTTGGGGGGCATAAGCCTATATGCATGGAAATGACTCTGCCGAATGTTGGCTTCTCTCTAAGCGCATTACCATCTCCATCTGTGTGGGCGACCCAATGGGTTCCATTGGGGTTTTGGGGCTGGCAAAGATGTACTGCACTCGGTCCACATGTTGTTCATAAAATGCCAATAAATTAGGAATAATTGAGAGATTGTGGGACGTTAAATTCGTTTGCTTTATTGGGATTTTTGGTTGTCTGTTTACAGTGTTTCCGTTTCATTGGTCATTGTAATTTGATTGAATGGTAAATTAAGGGATTGTAAACATGAGTTATGATGTCCAATTTTGCCTGCATCAAACATCATGGAGAACTGTTATTAAAGAATATTAGCCATTTTTTAAGTTTTACGTAATGCCTTTTCTATATTTGGAATGATCTTCAAAATTCAGGATTTCTATCTATTTTTTAAGTCTAACAATCTGATGATCTTCATAAGAAACAAAAAGAAATAATTTGAACCCAAAGTTAATTAAATGCTTATGTTGAGCTTATGCAAATAAGACAATACATTTTCATTTCAAAATGTTTAGTACGCACGCCTGTTTATTTTGATAACGATTTTAATTTCATTTTATTTATCAAAATGTTTTTATGGAAAAAGTGCAGTTAGCAAATAAATAGTACGAAAGGTAAACAGCTTTTTTTATTCCCAATCAACATAAATATTAATGCAATTTGCATTGGCATTGAACAGGGACATAAATGTAAATAAATTATATTTATCTTAAATATATATTTGCCGACCGCAAAAAGCCTCTTAGAATTATTTTTCTGTGACCATCTCATCCTCTTAGCCTCTCCAAATTTTATTTAACGCCTGTCACATAGACAAACTCTTTATGAAATGATCCCCGGAGGAAGAAATACATTTTCTTTGAGTTTTTGCCGTAAATCCCTGGCCATATATTTCTGTGTGTCATATTTGGGAATGAAGGCTATACGCCTAGCGAAACCGGATGCCACAGTTAATTGCACATTCGGCCTGGGTTATGTTCAGATAATCGTCACATAAAGACATTTCATTGTTGTTAGGGGTTTGGCAACAACAGCAAATACGTGTGTAACACAACCGGAGGGGCAACTTCTAATAGGACCCATTCTGAACTGGGAAAAACTCCCCCCAGGCCGGGGATAATATTTGCTTAACAAACATTAAAGTTGTTTTCCTCCTTTGTTTCATTTCTGTTTATTCGGCTAATTTATGCTACGCCTTATTGCTTACTTTGCCGTCACGCCATAATGTTACGACTTGGCCACAGCTTAGCTTTCTTGGCCCGACTTTGTTTGGTTTGGTTTCCTTGGTCGTACGATTGCATAAATGGGGATTTCTAGGCGCGCTTTGTCTTTTCGGGTGTTTGGCCAGCGAGTCGAGGACTCATTATGATTCATTGTTGCCTGCAGGAGTCAAAAGGTAGAACGACTCAAAAGATTTATTAGCACCAGGGCCCCATAATGAAGTTCTTTAGTCGAGTTAATGTTTCAGCATTTATACATGCTGGCCATGTCAAAGGTTTCCTGTTATCCGGGATAAGGATGAAAAGGGAGGAGAAAGGAGGCAATGAAACAGATTGGAAATCCTTTTGGTTGGTGGTCCTGCCATGCCATGGCATTCCATACCAAAGGACTTAGGTTTTCAATGGGGGAGCTTTTAAGCCCTGTTGCGGGAGAACTTCAAGAGAAATATTTATTTAACTAACGACCAATCAATTCAGTACATATAGAGAAAAGGGTAAAAAGAAGCTTCCACTTGGAAGAAAATAATAATACAATAATAAAAGCAATTATCTTTTCGCGCTTCATTTCAGCCATATATATTTCTGATTGTGTATTAAGATCTTTGTTCCGTCAGCCTAAAATGAAAGTTTTCATTTATTGAGATGTCTTAACTTTCCCTTTCCATTCGCCTTTCAATTTTCCCTCCATTTCTGTGCCCTGTAATTGAAGTTTTCTATTTGTTTTCCCTGCGCAAGAGCTTTTTATAAGGAACTGTCATAAGAAACCTTTTCCGCTGTCCTCCACAAAAAGTTGATTATTACTTATAGACTTTCAGACCCTAGACTGTAATCACTGGACACACTGAAAAACTGGCTAAGACCCTCGTTTTCCGACCTTATCCGCTTGCGTCCTAGATGAAAATTACTATTAGAATGCCGGCGGCGGAAAACAAACAAGAAAGGAAGTCCGGTGATGGGAGAAGCAAATGTGAGAAAAATCTCATTTACAGCTCTGCCTTAAAATGGCAAACAAAAATTTCAAATAGACAACATAAAACCCAAATAGTAAACATCGAGTCCCAAAGCCCAAAGCCCAGACCCCAAAGCCAAATCCGAAATAGCCGCAGATAGTTGGGCAAACATTGGCCAAATGCCAGAGTCAGTTGCTGATGGCCTTGATTATTTCCTTCTGATGTTATTAGCTTTATTTTGAAATGAATGCATGACATAATTCTGATAAGACTGAAATTTAAATTAAATGA